ACGGCGCATCCAAGGGCCCAATAGTGAAAAGGCTGGCATCAGGACAGGCTTCACAGTCCATGGATGGTAGTCAGGACACTTGCATTCCCATGGCTTGCACGGAGTGCGTCCTGCTGCTTTCGCAGCGCGACAATGGTGTGCACCCTCGCTGTCGACCAGTCGCCCGTGCTGCCATGGCTTGCAGCCGTGCCGCACGGTGAGGCTGACCTGGGTCCTGACATCGCCCAAGTCTGTTGAGCAGGTGTTTACTTCGCAATGTGCCCAAAGCTGCCCGTGGAGTCTGGGCCCAGTGCTTGGCCCGACCCCTTGCTGCTCTCGCCACCACCAACTCCATGGCGGCGTTAATGCCCGCTCCACGTGGTGGAGCCAAACGCCGTGAACAAGCTGCCCGCTTCACTTCACGGCAGCAATTGCACGACCTCGGCTAAGTGGGCCGCTACCATCTCAATGGGCTGAACCTAAGGCCTCGCGGAGGTGGTCTCCACGCAGGCCGGATGGCCCAGCGCCACGGCGGAAGCTGCGCACTGCGGCCACCACATCGGCTGCAGCGATGTCAGGCACATCTGTGCGTGCAGGTGGGCTCAGCGGCAACAGAGCAGCACGGGCAGGTTGGACTCGAAAGGCTTGGCCCGCAGCTGGTCCATTACGCCGGACGAGTGCCGGACGAGTGGTGGGGCAGCCAAGGCCGCACAAGCTCGGGAGAGTTCACCTTCAGCAGCCAGCTGGCGGCAGCGAAGCTGGGAGGAGCGCTCATCCTCACTGGTGCCGGCATGCCGCTTGCGGCGGAGGCCCTGGCCTTCCAGCCACAGCTCAAGCCTCTCCCCCGCCAGCCAGCGGATTGCTGCTGCGGGAATGTGCCAGCTTTTGCAAAGTAGCGTACTCAGCCACGTACCCTCTCAGCCTTTGATGCCGAAGTGCGGGCCTGCCTCGAAGCCCTTTGCACAGGACCGCTCCCTGGCCAGGCCTGGGCGCAGGCCTCGCTGGCAACAAGTGCCGGTGGTCTTGGCCTTCGCCTTGCGCTTTGTGGGTTTTGTTTGTTGTTTGGTTTGTTTGCTTTTTCTGTTGTTGCTTCTTGTCTTTGTTTTGTGTCCTGTTTTTCGGCACTGTGACTACCATCCAGGACTGTGAAGCCTGTCCTGATGCCAGCCTTTTCACTGTTGGGTCCATGGATGCGCCGTGTTGGCTTTTGTATCACGGCCCCATAGTCACAGTTAATTCATTTCATGCACTGTAGTGTGTTGATTGACCTGGCGGACAGAAGATCCGGGATCCTGCAGTGTCGACGTCCATGGCTGCAGGTCCGGGGTTGGCTGCTTCCCCAATCCGCCGCCCCCGGCAAGGCCATCCGTGCCAGCCTGGGCGCTTGGTGCAGATCCAAGTGCGCCGCTGCTGCTCGCAAAGGCGGCGCGTAGGCCGCCGCCAATTGACTGCGACCCTGCTGCCGGAGGCGTCCGAGCTGCGGCATCCATTGAATTGGTGTGTGCGCAGCCGTCGTTCGCGCCTGTTCAGGCGTGGCCGAACCCAGGCCCACCAGTCCACCACCGCAACTGGAAGGTGTCCCGAGGCTTTGATCTTGCCGGTCCAGGGGAAAGGCAGCAGCTCGAAGCACAGCGCGATGGTGGCAGACTGACCAGGCGCTGATCTTACCATAGGGCTCAAAATAGCTGCAGCTATTGTGCGAGTTTTTGGACTTATGCACATACTTGTTTTGGCCAGTGATGCGCAGTGAAATAAGACGAAACTCAAACTCGTTTGATGTAGCTAAATTCAAGTAAAGAGATGGTAAGTACATATTTATGTACGTCCAAAACAAGTGGTGATGTTCATTTGGGTTGACCTTGAGGGTTTGGTGATGGATATATTGCGATTCAGAAACTTTCCCCGATTCAGAAACTCCGATTCAGAAACTCCAAGGATTCAAGAAACTCCTGGTTGTCCCGATTCAGAAACTCCAGCGTGTCCCGATTCAGAAACTCTGGGTTGACCCGATTCAGAAACTCCAGGTTGCCCCGATTCAGAAACTCCACATTGCCCCGATTCAGAAACTCCAGGTTGTCCCGATTCAGAAACTCCGGGCTGATTCAGAAACTCCACTCTCTCCCGATTCAGAAACTCCGGGTCGACCCGATTCAGAAACTCCAGGTTGCCCCGATTCAGAAACTCCGGGTTGCCCCGATTCAGAAACTCCAGGTTGCCCCGATTTAGAAACTCCAGCGTGTCCCGATTCAGAAACTCCGGGTTGACCCGATTCAGAAACTCCAGGTTGCCCCGATTGAGAAACTCCAGGTTCCCTCGATTCAGAAACTCCTGCGTGTCCCGATTCAGAAACTCCACTGTGTCCCGATTCAGAAACTCCAGGTTGCCCCGATTCAGAAACTCCACTCTCTCCCGATTCAGATTCAGAAACTCCGGGTCGACCCGATTCAGAAACTCCACCCCCTCCCGATTCAGAAACTCCAACGTCTCCCGATTCAGAAACTCCACTCTGTCCCGATTCAGAAACTCCAGGTTGCCCCGATTCAGAAACTCCATAGAGTTCTTGTCACGATTCCAAATCATCATTTTCTATACTTCCCCCCCAAAGCCCTACATGCAATGGTATTCCTCAATGCCAATCCTTCCCTTTCATAGAGTTCTTGTCACGATGGCTAGTCATTTTCTAAACTTCCCCCCCAAAGCCCTACATGCAATGGTATTCTTGAATGCACACCCTTCCCTTTGATAGAGTTCTTGTCACGATTGCAAATCATTTTCTAAACTTCCCCCCCAAAGCCCTACATGCAATGGTATTCCTCAAGGCAAATCCCTCCCTTTCATAGAGTTCTCGTCACGATTGCAAGTCATTTTCTAAACTTCCCCCCCCAAAGCCCTCCATGCAATAGTAGTCCTCAATGCAAATCCTTCCCTTTCAAAGAGTTCTTGTCACGATTGCAAGTCATTTTCTAAACTTGCACCCCAAAACCCTACATGCAATAGTAGTCGTCAATGCAAATCCTTCCCTTTCAAAGAGTTCTTGTCACGATTGCATGACATTTCTCAACTTCCCCCCAAGAAGCCTACATGCAATGGTATTCCTTAATGCACATCCTTCCCTTTCATAGAGTTCTTGTCACGATGGCAAGTCATTTTCTAAACTTCCACCCCAAAACCCTACATGCAATATCAGTCCTCAATGCAAATCTTTCATTCCGAATCCGAATCCGCGGACCTGGAAGTTTCCGAATCCGACGTTGAAGTTTCCGAATCCGGGGGGAAAGGCAAGTTTCCGAATCGGAGGGCCTGGAAGTTTCCGAATCCGACGTTGAAGTTTCCGAATCCGGGGGGAAAGGCAAGTTTCCGAATCCGAGGGCCTGGAAGTTTCCGAATCCGACGCGGAAGTTTCCGAATCCGGGGGGCAGCGAGTTTCCGAATCCGCGGGCCTGGAAGTTTCCCGAATCCGAGGGCCTGGAAGTTTCCAAATCCGAGGGCCTTGAAGTTTCCGAATCCGAGGGCCTGGAAGTTTCCGAATCCGGGGGGGAGCGAGTTTCCGAATCCGAGGGCCTGGAAGTTTCCGAATCCGACGTTGAAGTTTCCGAATCCGGGGGGAAAGGCAAGTTTCCGAATCCGAGGGCCTGGAAGTTTCCGAATCCGACGCGGAAGTTTCCAAATCCGGGGGGCAGCGAGTTTCCGAATCCGCGGGCCTGGAAGTTTCCGAATCGGACGCTGAAGTTTCCGAATCCGAGGGACGGCAAGTTTCCGAATCCGAGGGCCTGGAAGTTTCCAAATCCGAGGGCCTTGAAGTTTCCGAATCCGAGGGCCTGGAAGTTTCCGAATCCGACGCTGAAGTTTCCGAATCTGAGGGGCGGCAAGTTTCCGAATCCGAGGGCCTGGAAGTTTCCGAATCCGCTGCTGAAGTTTCCGAATCCGACGTTGGCCGTTTGGTGATTCATTGGCGTGCGCAGTGCCACGCTCAAGTGAGCCCCATACCCCACGTTCATTTTTTTTCGTCCCAACATCTTACGGTCATCCCACCCTCAGTTTGTCAAGTGACAACTTCTGTGATTTTGGTTTCAGCCTCCTTCACTACCTTTGAGACAAGTGTGTCTCTCTCCAAGTTTGCAATCCATGTGGATTCATTTTTCCAATTATCACCATCGAGACAAATGTTTCTCTCCATATGTTTTCCAAGTTCCCACGTTATGTGACATCATGTTACATTTTTGCTTTTCTACTTTCCTCGCAACTTGCACCATGCGCTGACTGTCGATGGCCACCTACCGTTGCTGGATGCCGATTAGGCTGCCTACCCAGCCGTACGTGCGCGGGGCCGAGATTTGACTTGATATCCCCGCGGTCAAAATAAAGAGCTGCAGCTATTGTGCGATTTTTTGGAGTCGTGCGCACACTTGTTTTGGTACCAGTGATGCGCAGTGAAATAAAATGATTGTCAGGCCAATTTTTCCAGTAAATTTTGATCCTCAGTTTGCATGTCTCCGCTCAATGATGGAAACTTTTCTTCGGGATCTGAATCCAAAATGGATTGTTGTTTTCCGATGTGGATGTGACCACGGGGAAAAACAAACATCATGGCCAGTTTGGTTGTCAATTTTGTCTTAACGCGTGTTCACAATTGGGTTGCCGCTTGTCAACAAAAAATAGTAACAGTGCATGCGGTGTATTATTGGACAGCTAACTGGAAACTTTTTGTGTGGAAACAAATTGCGTACGGTGTTATTGCTTGTACCTTTTACAGAAAATACTGTGGATGGAAGAAATCCTGCACCACATTGGATGGTGGAAACCCTATCAATAATGGGATGTTTACCACCTATCAACTGGTGATTCGGATTTCGCGACCATCCACCGTATGTTGAGTTTGTTCGCATTCATAATTTCAAAACCGGATGCATGTTATGACCTTTTGTCGCGTGCTGTCATGTGCCGAATTCAAGGATGTCAAGAAACTTGCATTACATTGGTCCAGAGGGAAATCATTACACCTGGAAACGTATGATATATTTTTTTCGATTTTAACTTGAACATATTTGTCCCGGTGATATGTGGGAGAGTTGTGTGTGTTCATTTTGCAGTCGATGCTTTCAATGCAGGTATTTATTCCGATCGTTTTGATTGCATCGGAATTGGTTAGCGCTACGTTTTTGTTACTGTGGTATTTTTGTCATCGGGGCAATCTATTGTCCGCGGAAATTTCAAAGAAACACACATAATGTGGTAAACCCATAAATATTCGTTTCAATATGCGATATACCCCCATTAGGGATGGTGTAAAATGACCGTCACATGGCTAGTAAATGGGATGGTTTCTTTTTGGGTTTACCACATTACAATAAACGTTTTCCGGTATAATTTGGCCGCGGTGCGAGTCACTTTACCAACACGAAAAAAAATCGTGATGAAACACAAAATTCCAGTCACATGTGACCATGTTTCATGGCAACTATGGTTCCATCGCATCAACTAACATCCATCCAATATTTCTTTCGATTGTCTGTAACCACTCTGGTTGGGATCCAACATGTTCCAAAACAGCAACATCGCGCCATGATTCCCACAAAAACACAACAATATTTCCGGTGCACTGTGTGTGCAACTGTGCAACCAATTTTTGTTCCAAACATGGCGAGAGATCTGATGGATTGGATAAGTAACTCGGATGCATTTGGCACTGAAAATTCAAGTCAACATGGGGTTCAGTCAACATGTTTGCAATCTTTAAGCGGGTTCAGTCTCCCAAAACAGTTTTTCTTTGGATAACAACAATTCACATCAGTGTTAATGTTGCCTTTGGTGTGTTTTCAACTGTGCAAACGAAATTCTCCAATTCAGCATGAAGTCTATGAACTCCGAACAAGTCAAAGAGGGTAATGACTTTTGCAAAAAAACAAACAATCATTTTGTACATGCCCAAATTGTTTGTTTGTGATGTCGGGAAACCCAAATTGATTTGTCGAACAGCCCAAATCTCAGGTCGGCAAGCCCAAATTTCTGGTGATGCTCGACAAGATTTGCTGCGAGCAGCGCGAAAGTAGCTCGGACTGGATCTGAATTTGGTGGAAATTTGTCAATTGGTTCTACACATAATTTAAAATTCTAGATTTCACTGTTTTTTGATGACATTTTCCCAAAAAACGATTATCGAAACCCAAAAATGATTGGTTCTTGCCAACTGGTGGAATTTCCAAAAACTGTTTAAGATTAAATCGCAGAAACCATTCCGGACTCCAAGGCATGGATGGGAGATGCAAAGCTTTGGTGTGTGAAGCCTCAGCTTCACCATTCCATGGGGATTTTCAGGGTCAATTTTTGGCCACTTCAGGAGGGAAAATGATAGGAAAATGAGGCTTTGATGAATTTGGCTAAATTGGGGTGTTCCCAATTTTCCCACATGTTGACTTTGGAGGTGTTTGTCACCGAATCTTGCGCCTCAAGGCCTCACACAAAACTGCGATGAATTTTCAAATTCAAAGACCTTTGAACTAGTTCAATCGCAGAGGTTTTGAAAGTTCCTTCTTTTTGAACAAACACTGGGGTGTTTTTGTGTTTTGACGGGTGTTGACATGTTTTGAACCCCCCAAAACCAGAGAGAAATTGGATACCTCCCGCATTCCTCCCGCATTCCTCCCGCATTCCTCCCAACGTTCTGCGTTTCATCATGGATCCCATGGCAAAGCACCATGGGAACCATGGGGACCACGGAGCTGTGGATCCTTACAGCCTGGAAGGCTTGGTACAGCGACACGAAAATCGACAGCTTCTGCTGCAACGCCTCAGCTCTGTTCGACAACAGATCAAGGATTTGGAACGCGAGGTGCCGGAGATGCTGTCCGTCTATGGGCAGATCTAACATGATCTAACTTACTAATTGGATTTTTATCCACATTCATATTGATGCATAGTAGATCTTTACACGATCCATGGGATATATCCACACATCACATATCCTTGGTGGAGATACTTCCGTCACGGGTGTACCCCTTCATCCAGTGCCGCAGGTCCAGGACTTGGAGCAAACCGTTCAGGGCTTGCCGTACCTTCGTCGCAGCTTGCCGGACCAGCTCCAGGCTGGTGGCCAGGTGAATCGCTTGGCTGCCGCGGCGGCTGGTGGGGTAGCCTTACCCTTAGCCGTGGGGATTATGCATCCACTGGACACGGTGCGCACCACCATGCAGGCCACAGCGGGCCGTGGCTTTTCTGAGGCGGTTAAGGCCCTGGGATCCAAAGGCGTGGCACGGGGCTTTGGGCTCAGCTTCGCGTGGGCATCGCCGCAAGGGGCCATCAGAATGGCCAGCTACGAGACCTCCAAGGAGCACGGGGTTCATGGTGACGATTCAGAAATTCTCTCAAAAGGAGCTTTGGATTTGTTGTACACCAAGGAGAACCCTCTTTTCCGGATTCACTAACACCATTGCCACTGGTTCTGTTCCCAGTTCACACTTTGGATGATGAATCTAGTCTGTCAATTAAGGTCACTTTCTTTCTGCTGTTTTGCTCCACCAGGACCAGTTGTTGGACAAATTTTCCGCCAAGTCCTTTGGCATCGCGGTCTCTGCCGTTGTGGCTGACTTCGCCAGCAGCGTCATCAAGGTACCCCGGGAACTCATCACCCAACGGATGCAAACGGGGCAGTACTCCTCCAGCTGGACAGCCTTTCGAAGCATCCTTCGACAGGACGGAGTGGGAGGACTCTTCACAGGACGGAAAAATCTGGTCCGAAAGGGTGAAACTGCCAGTTTCTGGTTAAGAATGCTGTCAATTTTGCAAACTCACTGGGTTCTGATATGTTCTGATGAGACCAAAAATGATCATGGATTATGAATGATTATGAATGATTATGATTGGAGCCTGGAGGATATCTGTCAACAGCCTCCCGCGACACGCCCTTCATGGTTTTGTTGTTCTTTTCCTACGAGCAGTTCAAGGCCTGGAAGATCCGCCTAACCTTCGCGGATGATGTCCCGTCGCAGTTGTTGGCTCCCATGAAGCCCTGGTCTGATGCAGAAACGGCCGCTTGGAGTCTCACAGTGAACTGGAAGTGTCTGAAAATACGGTAGGTATATCCTCAAACAACTATTTTAGTAAGGAAAACGATGAGAATCCAATGGATATATAGGGGTACCCTATTTTCAGACAAACCCAAATGGTGCTTACTTTTTTGCCAATGCTTCCGTTTGGTTCCATGATGTTTAGGCCATGTAAGTGTTCACTTTTTGGCATTGACTCCAAAACATCGCCGACGACGCAATTCCATGAACCTGCTCAGAGATGGCTCCCAGGTTTTCCCAAGTCTCAGGTGCTCTGGGGTGGCATCTCGGGCGCTTTGGCCGCTTGGCTCACTACGCCCTTTGATGTCATCAAGACGCGTGTGATGACGGCGACACAGGCCTTGACTTTCGGCGATGCCCTGCGATCCGTTGCCACCACAGGGGCTACGGGGCTTTTTGCCGGGGCCGGGGCAAGAAGTGCCTGGTGGTTCTGTGTGAGCTCCGTGTTTTTCGGAACCTACGAGAGGTTGAGATCCAGCTTTCAACAAAAACTGGAGGAATGATTAGATTTGATGAACAATGATGAAAGCGATGAAGAATGACATGAATGATATTGAATGATGATGTTTTGAATGTGATTGTATGCCTTCCCATCTTAGGCAAAAGGCCTAAAGAGGGGCGAAGTGGCGACAAGAAAAAAAATCGTTTGGGATTGTATCAGTCAAAGAGCTGCTCCTTTGCCACTGATTTTGGATACCCTCTGGTAATTTCACATAGCTATTGAAAATGGCCATTTATAGTGGATTTTCCCATTAAAAATGGTGATTTTCCATTGCTATGTTAGTTTACCAGAGGGTATATTTCCGCCATGCTCAAAGTAAGCCTAGGATTCTCCACGTCTCAATTTCTGGACCTCAAACTTGGGCACTTCGTAGAACGCCGCATTTCCTGCCGCACAACGAGGAACTGATTTGTGGAGAGCCTTCGTTGCATCGAGAACTGGTGGATGTTTGCAGGCCTTTTGAGGTGCCCGGCAGATTGCTGCCGCTGAATGTTGAATTGTTGAGTTGTTGACCTCTGCACAAACTGGATTGCTGTCTGAGTTTTGTAGTGATAGTTACTGATAGTTGTAGTGAGAGTGAAGATATAGAAGTGTAGCTGGTTTCAAGTTCAAGCAAAAGTTACGGGAATTGAATAGACGGCAAGGGTGTAGTCAAGATGAAGGCACGGAAAGGAAACCGATAAACAGGACCACGTCGATACCGAAAAAACATTTTCGCTTAAATTCATGATTGACAAGTTTCCAAATTTCCTCTATGCATTTGCCCCACATTTAGCTACTGGGCATAGCCCCTGATGAGTTCGATCGACCATCTCATCCAACCAAATCCACCAGGAAATAGCCTGATGAGAAATACCGCGATTCAATGTGATTCATGGATATATCATGGTATTTGGCTATAGTTGACCTATATAATACCTATATATGGCTATGGATCAATACCTATCAATACCATTTTTAGTGGGTTATTCACATCCATAAATCCCAGCTATTTTGATGTGAACTACAGGGGTACAAGGTTTTGACCCATCCCCATATAAATATCATGGATCATTCACCATCCAACGAGTTTTTTTCGCCACAGATTGCTGTCCTCACCCGCGCCTGGCGGATGGACTTTGGCGCGCCGTCGCCACGCGGCCAGTGGCAGGTGCCGGTGCCGAGGCCGGGCGAGCTGAGTTTGCGATGGCCATTGAAATAGTGAGTTTTCCCATGAATAGCATGGTGATTTTCCATAGCTATGTAAACGTTTACCAGAGGGTAATTTGGTGGTTATCAACCATTGTAACCAATGGTCTTATTTCTTAGTAGAGAATGATAGGGAATGATCATGGGGGAATGGGCTGATTGTAAATAGTTCTTATGGGTCATTACTCCAGTCCCCAAGCACCAGTGGTATGGCTTGGATGGCTTGGTGACTATCCAAACAGACACAGCCAAGCAGCTCCGCAATGAACCAGTAGAGGCATGACATTGATTTGTATCAATTGTGGTTTCTCCGACCCACATTCAATGAATATTCGAACTCTACACTCACATTGATGGGCATATACCTGTACCGTCTACATATATATATATAATATTATACACACAACAGTTCTCCCCCCGGGTTTTTTCAATGCCCCAAGTAGTAGGGTTCAATATCCACTGCCAAACAAATAACTGGGATCTGGCAGAAGAAACCAATATCAACTGGGATCTGGGGGATCTGGGGGAACTGAGGCGCGCGAAGCACGCGAATCGGGAGCACCTGGAGGCGAGTCAATTTGTCACTTTGGGATGTTGGGGAATCAAGAGCTACAAACTACAACATGTTTGTTGGATACCCTTTGCTAAACTAACATAACTATGGAAATCACCATTTTTAATGGGAAAATCCACTATACATTGCCATTTTCAATAGCTATGTTAGTTTACCAGAGGGTAAACATCCATAACTACCAGCTATCAACTTAGAGAGACAAAGGAATCTCTACGACTGTTCTACTAGTGGTTGTCTTTTCGGCAGTACCTTGAACAACTGGAGCCAATCACAACCATGATAGCCCAAACAGACACAGACGATTTTCACTGTGTTTTCCAGCGATGACCAGGCGAGCTCACCATAAGATGCTAAACCCACAATAAATAAGCAGCTCATCAGCTGGCCCTTGGCACCTAGAGAAAACAACAGGAGCGGCAACACTACGTTGGTGGTCACAGCCATATGTATCAGTCATGGCAGCTCAGTATTTTTCAGAGTACCTGGCTCTGTTGATGACATTCCAACTCGCAGATGTTGCAGATGTTGCAGATGTCGCAGATGTTGCAGATGTCAGTGCCAACCTTCTTGCGACCTCCAGTGAGAGCCGTAGATCAATAGGAAGACACTATAATTGACTCCAATCACTACCTTTTTTTTCTCAGATGAACCCAAATTTGGGTTTGTCTAATTTCATAGAAACCATCCAACTAATAGTAAACATTAAAGCCTCCATTTATAGATGATTTTCCCATATTTTGCTCTAAAAAACTATCAAAATTCATGGTGAACATCCTTTTCCAAGGCTGGACGGCTACCTCGCAGCAGACGAGGATGGCCAGGATGGGTGCTTCGGCCGGATGTGGATTTTTCTCAAATCGAGGGGAAGATTCCGAAATCCCATGATTCATCATTTTTGTCCTCATTTTTCCCATGACATGTGGTTATAACATGCTATAACTGAGGTGTTTTTTACCCGGTAAAAGGCGCCCATTTTTAGACACGCCGTCGCTTACAATTCCCTTCGTCGCCAGAACCGAGAGACCGTCAAGGTCAGACCGGTCATGCCGCCTCGGGAGGTTAGAAGCCTCAGCTGAGGCCATTACTGGTACAAGGGCAAGGTGGAGCTTAACTAGGCTTAACTAGGCTTACCCTCTGGTAAACTAACATAGCTATTGAAAATAGCAATTTTTGATGGGTAAATCCACTATAAATGGCCATTTTCAATAGCTATGTTAGTTTACCGGAGGGTATATCTTATAACTATAACAGATCTTTAGTTAATGGGGCTCAAAACCAACTAGCTGAGAGGCCCACCTTGTACGTAGTAGTTTCCCTCCATATGATTCCCATGTGGGAGACTTGCATCATATGTTTCTGTTTGTGGTGCTAATGCCAGTTCTTTCTAAGAACATTTGCAACATGGTGCCCAGATTGAAAGATGGGCAAGATTGCCGCACTGCAGCTGTGATATCAATATTGCTACATTGCGCATTGCGCATGTTGCTAGGCTTGCTCGATCCTCCAGCCAAAATGGTCACATCAGCAAGCAGCTGGCGGAAACATGAGAGCCAAGTTGTCAGTGGATGTCATTGGGTTGATTTCGGCAAAGCATTTTCGATTGACATGTAGATGATGTCATCATGGCTTGCATGCCACATGAGGTAACATCCATTTGTTTCATTCGTGTTTTTCGGTTCCCATTCCCAAAAAATAGTGGGTGTATGCCGTATCCCCCAGTGCTTAGTGGTTGACCTGGTTGACCTGGTTGACCTGGCCATGCCGAAGCTCACGGATGCCATGAACCAGGCACGGCACCATGAAATCTGCAGTTTTGTTCGGGATATCACCAAGCATTCGCAGAAAAAGTATGTTCGTGGACATTTGCAAGCACAATTTGTTTTTGGAGTCGTTCGGAACACCGTGAATCACTAATAATCCAATATCACTAGCTTTCGCCGGCGAGGCAGAATCCTGGGAAGGTGGTTGGAGTCTCTGGCTGCACTTGGCTGATGTATCTGTGACTAAAATCTGTGGATCTGCCGAATTTCACCCAGGTTTTATGGTAAAGTTCTGGTTTTGTATGCACACTGCTGGAGTGCCTGGGTCTGGGCAGGTCATCTACAGCTTCATGTGGAATGGAATGTTGTTTAAGGTGATGATTGGTGTGAAAACGACAACAGAGTTTTTGTCCCAAACCAGTTTACCAGTTTCTGCCTATTCAAGCCCAGAAAAGTTGTCGCAACAATCACCACCCAGACACCCAGACTTGCCGGACTTGGAACGCCCAGGAAGGATCCGGAGCAAATGGCCGATCCAGTGACGCCGGAAGCAACGGAGTCCTTCGGTAACAAAGGTTACAACGTGAAGGTGGGACTGCTGGGTGTATCTTGCCTGAGGTATGGAAGCATCCAAGAGATGGCCTCTTAGACTGTAAAATATCTATAAAGATGTCGGTGTATGGTTGAATTTTACATGCGACTTCTGGAACTCCGGAGGTATGGTTTTTCCTGACACGGAGGTGCCTTTTTTAAGACCTAGATACAACTATTGTATCCCAAATAGATGCATTTCCATTTGCCAAATAGATCTTTTTGTATCCTTTTGTATCCCATAGTCTAAACATGTTCATGCGTTGCCAGGACATACGGAATAGCGCTATGGGCGGCGCAATGGGTTTGCATCAAAGCAAGCCTGACGAAGGCTTCATGAGAGCGGCCATGGCTGCCAGTGTCACTCGGACAGAAATGATGTGTAGCTGAAAAATCCGTGGACATCCGTGGACATCCGTGGACATCCGTGGACATGTTTTTTTTTTTTTCCCGGGTGTTTAGCATGATGGTTAACCGTCCTGAAATGCCATGGGGATTCAAAAAGCCAATATCAATCATTTTTATATATTTCTAACATCCACAAAAGTCTTGATTGCGGGGCTATTCACATATTATTGGGAAGAATTATGGGTAGCTCCGTTTGCATGATAATGATGATATTTCTTATCATTAGTACAATCCTAAGTTGCGCCATCCTAATGGATCAATTTGCCTTGTGTTTGACAAATTTCCCAATTATAGGGAGGAACATACCATTATCATCCGTTAATTCCATCTAGATCAAACATCCCATAAGAAAGCTATGTCAAATAGCCACATCAATGCAGCCAATTTCGTGCTGAGGAAGCTCCCAAGTATTTTCCGTACACCACGTCTCATCGCATTGGCGGGACCCATCCCCACGGGTGCCTTGGCTTGGCGGAAAAAAAACTGGGAGATGTTGGGTTTGAATCATTTAATCATAAATGTGAAACAAACCCATTGACATGAAATGACATAAATGTTTGAAATAGATTAGATATTCATTGGAAATCTATTTCAATCCCATGTTCTTGTTTGTATCCCTCTTCTTCATTGGATACCCATAATATACCAACATTCCAATAGGACAAATGATGGACATTGGATGTTCGTTTTTCCATCTTTTACCACATACTAAGGTTAATCAGCATCATCCCAGTTTTCCCCGAAACTTAGCCGACCGAGGTATTTGCCGATGACCCCAGCACGTGCGCGAGCCTTCTCCAGGAGCAGATCCGGTCCGGGGATGGATCCCATTGAAAATGGGGACAGAAACCATTGCAGGCGCTTGGTTTTTCAGATGGTTTGTTTGGGTGATGTGATCTCAAAAACAATATTTTTGTAGGGTTGATGTTGAAGTAAAATTATTGATGCTGATTTTAATCTTAATTCTACAAATCCAACGTTCATAGAACATATTCCGGGGCTTAAAGAAAGGGAAGGTAACCAGCAAATATGGGAATCTCGGTTGCTCCGTGTTGTTTTGTGTTGGCGGTGATGCTGAAATTTCTATGCCATCATAGATGATGCTCCGAGCAAAACGGGTATCGACTACCATCTTGTTGAAGCAGAAACTACAATGTTTTTGGCCCCCAAGATATGTTTGTTGGTTAACAAAGGCCCGAGTAACTAGTTCGTTATTTGCATACCATAAACCAGTTCGTGACATTGGAATTTTATGTTCACCAACTTAGCTATCGAACGTGTACCATATTGATTCTGGTGAATTCCGCCTGTCAACATGGGGGACTGTGGATTAGCGAACAAGTAAGGTCTACGACGTCTACATGATAATGCTTTCGTTGATTGAGGCACCACCATTTGGTGCAGGATTTATTCTGCGCATGGTTGAAATCTCTTCACCCAACAGTCCCGGAGTCCCCAACTGGACATTTTGGCTTGTCGTTGCCTGCTTCCTGTAGGACCGACCAGGCGCGCCGGTGATGCTCTACCCCAAATGGGGAGTTTTTCATTTGCCAATGGATGGGGTGCCATACCCTCTGGTTATGTCAAAATAGCTATTGAAAATTGCCAATTGTAGTGAGTTTTCCCATTAAACATGGTGATTTTCCATAGTTATGTTAGTTTACTAGAGGGTAATTCTGAAACCCAAAGCATCCTGTTGGTTTTTGGTTGTGGCTGTGGGTAGGTGCCGTGCGTCACTGATTTCTTGGAGGCCAGATATCGGACGCGGCTTGGCGCAGTGACCAGTTGCACGAACAAACTTTTGGTTGAGAATCCTAGGACTTTTCTTGGTACCCTTTGTATATATACATATATATATATATATCAATAAATAGATATTATGCTTGATCATAAGACTCCAGCTGAAAATAGCCACGAAAAAAAACACTTGCGTCCCTTGGGTCCCCTGTTAGCCTAGGCTGAAGCAGGCCTTGGCAGTGACTCAACTCAGCGCACGTGATGATCCTTACAGGTGCGCCCGGCATTGGGATGGTTTTACTGAGAAAATCAACGAAAATGGTGGATTTTCTAGCAAAAAACATGTTTCATGATCAGAGGGTAAATGAATGTATCCATGAAATTCCATGAACATATGGATTATATCCACAATATACCCATTCAATGGAGGCATATTCCATTTATATCCCCAAATTTATGAACACAGCCATTATTCTTTTCTCGCAGTCAAATCTGCAGAAAATCTTCGATGAAACTAGATGATGCTCTGCTAAAGAAAAACTCGTCTATCAACTCTCAACTCAATCATTCACCATAACCATTGAAATTTCTATCATTCATCATTCAACAGCTATCCGTCCCAATGATTTACAAGAATCAGATTAAAATCATCTCAACAAATTCCCTTCTTCGCAGCAATTTTCCTCCAATTTTTCCAGCATTTTGACCCCAGCTCTGGCCGAGTCGTCAGTGGCGAGAGGTTCATGGAGCTGCTGCGGGCTGAGGAACTGTCGAACTTCCTGAACCGCGCGGACAACTCCTCCATCAGCAGGGAGGAGATTTCCAAGTTGCGCGGCGCCGATGGCAGGAACGAACTTTCTCCCATGGGATGTTGGAGGAAACAGTGATGGAGAGTTGTTTATACATGTCTACACTACATAATTTATATTAATTTATTGGTATACATGAAATGAAATGCTTTACAGTAACCAGCTAACTCTAAAAAGATGCCGAAAAAATTGAATCGACCAGTCTTTTTGAATTGGAACTCGGAACTTTTTTGCATCGTTTTTCTTGGGTCGCTATAATCACTCAATCCTAAGTTTTCAATAATCTTTGATGATAGTGATTTTGATGGTATATATATATAATTTTGATGGTTTCATTTTTCTTGTTGGAACACATATGTTCTATGCTAGCTCTTATAGAAATAGGTTGGTTTCCTTGGTGAAAAGATCAGTGGGATTCGGAATGGGATGATGATCCAAAAGTGTCCGGTGTGGCGACCTCGAGGCTTGGAGAGGCATTGGCGGCCCTCCTAAATGCAGGCGCCGAGGACCTGTAATCCTTGACACTGGTGGAGCGTATAGCAACATACCGGGGACGGCGAAAAAAAACTGAAGGGAAGATAGGGAAGGCACATAGGGAACTGCGGCTAGTCAACATGAGTTCCTGGCAGACAAGCCTCTCATATCTGATTTACAGCCATGCAGGATGGGGTTTTTGAGCTATAAGTTGGTTAACCATGAAATAACCCCCATGAAAACTGTAGTTATATCATGTTATATCTATCATGAACCATAGTTAAGCCACTGAAATGTCTCAACTTACAATGTGAGGCCTCCAGTCGATAGCGTTCAGTTGGTGAACATAAACTCCAATGTCACTATAGTTTATGGTATGCAAATACCCTCTGGTAAACTAACATAGCTATGGAAAATCACCATGCTATTAATGGGAAAATCCACTATAAATCACAATTTTCAATAGCTATTTTGACATAACCAGAGGGTAACTATAGTTCCTGGGGCCTTTGTTAACCAACAAACATATCTTGGGGGCCCCATCCGACTCGCGCAGGGCGCGGTGCCCGGACCGACTACACGGCCCCGCTGAAGCATTCGGAGGAGAACGTGCCGTTGGACCTGGCAGATGGCATTGGGATGACGCAACAGGTGGGATTTTATGGGGGAAATCCCTGGGAAACGGCAGATGAATCATGATTTACCCATGGTTTTATATGGTTTTATATGGTTTTATATGGTTTTATATGGGTTTACATATCATGATTTTGATATCATCCAAAAAACATGGTTGAGCCACCAGTTGTTGGGGTTGTAACTATCGGTAATAGATGATATGTTTTAATTACCATGATTTTTATTAGGAGAACACTAGCTGATAAACCGTGGGATAAACTTTGGCGTAATTCTACGATCAGACAAAGCCATGTGGGAAAAAGAGATGGAGAATTCCGGTAAAAGAATCTGACACATGAGGAACATATATACTTGGTTGATATGGTAGATTGAGAAATGGGTTTTGAGACCTGGTCAATTTCGGGTTTTTTAACGGTTTTTTGTTGTGGTTTGTTGAAAGACGATTCTGAGTTACAGGGGTCCCTCACGGCTCATGTGGGGAGTTCTACTGTATACTGGAAATCCTGGAACAGAAACCGAGGTTTCTGGCACACCCAGCCATAAAAGCAATTGTTTTTGGTTTCTTGAACATCCCTAAGATGGTACGAACATTAGGCATTGCTTATTGGGTCAACTACGTTACTGGGTCAATGGATCATTCTTTCATGGTTTTGGAGGAATGTTTGATATTCCATCAAAGATTTGACGTCTCGGGAAGTGTCCAAGCTTTCACCGACGACTGAAATTTCAAGCATCTTTGAAGTTTGAATATGTTTTTTTTTTTCAAGAGGTTGAACAGAAAACTAACACCATAGTGGTGTACAATCTGTACATCTTTTAATCCAAGGATTCATCGACTTAGGAGCCCCCTCGGGGAGCCTCAAGTTCCTGACGCCAGGTGATGAGGGACGTCGTTGTCACTTGGGCCATGATTGGATCCCATGGCCAATCTGTATATCATGACCTCATGACATATGGAGGCTATGGGATGCTATGGGGATCCCCAGTCGTCACCAGGCGTTTCAATACTAACATGGTCCAATTTTGGATGATGAAAAGGGGACCCCTTTTTTAGGAAACCACCATATGGGATTCATATCTGACTATAAGATATTCTAAAAGATCTTCCAAACAATAAATTTAGAACATATCGCAACATCACACTGTCTCTACCATTTTTTTCCATTTCCACATGGCTGATACCATGGCAGCCATGGCTCGCTAGTGCCGCTGAGGCGTATGCCTTCAGATGCCGCGCCACGACGTTTCTGATGGTGTGATCTCTTTTCGATGTTAATGTCCTTTTGGAGGCTCAGTGATAACATAAATACCATATATACCATATATATATATACACACCAAATATACCATATATATATGTATACACGCAAGAATATATACCAGCAAAGAGATGAACGTCGGCACCCAAAAATGGTGTGTTGAATGGTCGACGTTTCGCATTTTTTTTCTGAGCCTCTGATTTGAAGACCAAAGTTGTCTTCCGCTGCCAAAATGCGAGCGCCACGTCGGTGTATCACAGAATATGTTGTAAGTTCTATAAGTTCTCGAATCATGAATGACGCCAGATTTGAAGACAAAACCGTCAAGATAGCAATTCCGAATCTTAGATGGCAGAGTTATCGCTTCTGTAAAGATGCCATTTTTCATCATTTTCCATGAAGAAAATCACTGTCGTACCTGGCCGTACTCAGTACAGCACCAAACAGCACGCGCCGAGGCATGGTCTGACAATCGCTACCGCCAGGAGAGGCCGAGCTGACTCATTTGCGCAAGCCATTTTTGCTATAGTCTAATCAGTTTAATCCTGTTTTCTAAGTGATAGAATATCATTACACACACATATATATAATTATATATATATGGATATCATTCAGTATAATACATTATATTTATTCACCGGAAGGAAGCTTGCAACTCTTGAATTGTCCAGTTCCGTTGCCCACAGATTCTCACCGGCCACCGATTATGGGGAGACGGTCGGCGGCAACCAGGAGCCCAGCGCACGCCGATCCGCCGTAGCAATGTTGATACTGGGGATAGCATCAATGATACATATTGATGGATATTATACTTGATGATATCCCCAGTATTGATGGTCCATATTATATATGGATACTGTATATCATCAATTATTGATACCATCAGTATGATATCCATCAATTAAAATGATGAGCCCAAAATATTGATATTGATACATATTGATAATATTGATGGATATTATACTGATTATCAATACTGGTACATATATGGATATTATCGCCAACCCATAGAATATGATGTTGATATTGATACATATTGATATACTTCTTCGCCAACCAGTATTTCATGCAGTTGGGACTTGGATGGCTTATCCAGTGGGCCCCCGGAACCACTGGTTCCCACCGTCAGGCCACTTGTCGTCGGTTCAAGCCAGGTGCCGGAAATTTGGGCGGTCGAAGCGAAAAACTGGGGAAGTTGGGGAAATTTTTTGATCCGACAAATGGTGAGTTTTCCCATTAAAAATGGCCATTGGTTCTGAAGCGAGGTACATTCAGAAACCTCATCTGGCAGTCGCGGTTTTTCATAGGTCAATGATCTAAAAATGGTGAAATTGCATGGGAAACTACGGAGGTCACCCGTCACCGGGGATTTTGCCGGGATTTCAGGAGCTGCGCCGTCAGTGGCTGAGGCCGGAAAATTTGGGATTTTCGACATCTGGTGGTTTTTTCATGTTCCATGATGGATGGTTTTACATGGTTTTACCATATATTTAACCTATTTCCATTTGTTTTATATATAACCACCAGATGGAAATATGAAGAATATTTCAAATATATATATATATATATTTAAGCTATTTCCATTAGTTTTTTGAATTTTCTGGTGGTCTTTTGGTCTTTTGCAAGGTTCTCCATGTTGTTTTACAATCATTGTTGCTTGCCTGAGCGGCTACCCCTTCTTGGACAGGAAGGTGCACCGGAGGCAAAGGTCGAAGCGGATCAGGACAGGCAGCTTGAGAGGATTTCTTTGAATCAGTGAATCAATTCAGGGGTTGGTAACTGTCCCATTTTGGGAATACTGGACATCACCTTATAGTAGCCATTATAGACCATATACCTAATGGTTGGGTGATGTTCAATGGGGACATTTAATGACCCATGCAATTGTTGTCCTATGGTTTTATGACTAGGTGAATTCTATGGTTTACTGTATATATATATAGTTAATGGTCATTAACCATGTTTATCCATGAACAATGGGGATTATGATGGGGATATGGCCGCTAATCCCCCGATGATCAAACATGGCTCGCGGGGAAATCCTTCATAAATGGAGGATTCTAGCTGGGAAAAGTCATGGAACCAGGTGGATTTTCTATTGCCATGTTTCGTATCACATACTGTATTTTGCTATACTCAATCAACATCGATCAACCCAGTATATGTCATTTTCTTGGTGAAATCTAAGTTTCTGAGGAGACCCCCGAGCAAGCTTCCAAGGTGCCAACAGCAGAGACAGTTGGGTTTCTGGCTCTGGGAGTGGTGCGTCGATTGTTTGCCGAACCCAAAAACTGGGACCGGAAAGCGGAAGCCTTGAAACCCTGGAATCTGCGGTTGGGTTACAAAGCTGAGTTATTGTACGAATCTAAAACTCACGCGGGCACAATTTGTTCGTTCTTGGAACCCTTGATGTGACTTTCCGTTCTGGAGAATCTGAAACCAACAATTTGAGCCCCCCAATATTGGTAGGCGCCATGTAGCAGATGAAGAAACATGGTTTTGTTTCCCCAGTTACAAATGGGAGAACCTCGGAATCAGGGACTCTGAGTACCGAACAGAAATGGACACAGGCAAGTTTTTGCACTTCATTTATTGAGTAGTTTTGTTTTGGAACATTTGACCTCTGCCTCACAAGAATGGAGATTTATATCCAAGAAAACTCTGGATTTAACAAAAACATGTCTGCGGATCGAACATGATTTCACCATCAAACAATGGGAGTCAATCCCCAGGATATCACCGTCAAACCATCATTTTACCATCATTTTACCATCATTAAACCATCATTTTTCACCATTAAACCACAATTTTTCACCATGAAACCATCATTTAATTCTCATTAAACCACCATTTTTGGGCACATTTCCCACGCATTTCCCACGCAACGTGATGCCAGGTGGCGGTGGATGCGGTGGATGCGGTGGATGCGGTGGATGCCAATGCCATCGTGGCCACTTCTGGGGCCATCTTCGTTGCCGGGCGAGGCAACACCACTTGGGATATCCATGGTTACCCTCTGGTAATTTAACATAGCTATGGAAAATCACCATTTTTCATGGGAAAATCCACTATAAATGGTGATTTTCAATAGCTATGTTAAATTACCAGAGGGTATCCATGGTTAGTTGGCAAAACTTGTGGAGATACCCTCTGGTAAACTGTGAAAAATAACGAACTGGAAAATCCACCCATTTTGTGGTTGGGTAAATCCACTATAAAAATGGCCATGGCTTCAATAGCTATGTAACAAATTACCAGAGGGTAAAGAAAAGGACTGCCATTTCCATTTCCATGGCTTCCTAGAAATCATGAAAAATATGGCTGTTGAGCTTCCAACATGGACGTATTGTTTGTTGCCTTTTTTTTTCTGATCACAGGCGGATTGAAGCGCTTCGATCTGCCGGACCTGCCACTTGCCGTGGAACGACCCGTTTTGAATGTATTTGAGCCCTGAAAAGTTCAGATGTGGAAACCCTTAGATGTTCAAAACTATTCCAAACTTCCAAACTCAAAAACCTTTTGAGGCTTCCATTCAGTTGGAGTTTGTACAGGATGGTGCCCTCCAGTTATAAGTTGGTTTATAAACCCCATTAACTATAGTTATATCTGCCATAAACCATAGTTATGGGAGTTATAAACCAACTTAGCTAACTATGGGGCACCACCTTGTAGGTCATTCTCAATTTCTCTCAGAAAAAATCCCAAGTGGCCGGATTCTCTCAGGAAACTCTCCGCTGCTCAACCTTATGCCGGCACAGCAGATCCGCCCGGCTATGCCGACCTGGCCGCAGGTGCTGGCCGCATAGCCTCTGGTAATTTAACAGTTCGCTATGGAAAAGCCTCATTTTTCATGGGAAAATCCACTATTTCTATGGTACATTTTCAATAGCTATGTTAGTTTACCAGAGGGTATCCCAAGTTTCGTTGCCAGGTGAGTTCCGCAGTTCTGCCACAGGACCCGAGTTCATCGTTTGTGTCGACCTGGATGGGTGCATCTTTCGCTATGACTCCAAAACGCCTGGCTTCTCAGGGTACCAGTGCATCCTGGTGGAAGGTATAGTATAGGTGAGGGAACCCCAAAATTAATCACCTATCGTTGTCTGTGTGACTATTAAGACCAATGGCTTTTGGGTCCCTCTAGTGTTTTTTTTGGGGACAGGCTCATCGGCGAAAACGTCCCACGCTTCGCTCGGAAGCGTCGCAGCGTCGACGACTGTCTACGTCGCTGCAGGTGTGAGTTGCAAGCGAAGAGAAGCTACCAACCTTCCGTCGTGGAGCATTCCCAGGTCTGTTGGGGGCTGGATAAAAGGATCAAGACTCCTGAGTCTCCTATCCGCTATCAACTACAAGTATCCACTCGGAAATGATGAACATGTGTGTGTGTGTATAATTATGTATAATATATATATAATATATATATATAATATACACACATCAAGAACTATCAAAAGCTCCGTTCTTTAGGCCTATGATATCGACCTGTTCCCACCTAAGGTCCCATCTGAAGTTTTGTGGGATCAAACTTGGGAACCGGGCACACCGAACGACGAATCCAAAGGTCCAGGTCAACAAAGCGTCAGAAACGACAAAAAAAACGACATGCGAAATCGCAGCTTCCAAGGCTTGTTGATTGGTTCCGATGGTTGGTTCCGATGGCCTCCAAAATGAACGGCTCAGTTCTTGGAAAATTCGACAGCTCCCAGACTTCCAAGACTCCCCAGAGTCCTTCGTTCTGCCAGCGCCTTGTGGCGAGCCAACTGGAGAGATTAACCAAACCCATTGTGGGCTTGGAGGGCGGGTGCAGCTGGCCCATTTGAAAAAATCCAGGTGCTGCATCTGGGATGTGGGAACCATCTGGGAACCATCTGGGAACCATCTGGGAACCATCTGGGAACCATCTGGGAACCATCTGGGAACCATCTGGGAACCATCTGGGAACCATCTGGGAACCATCTGGGAAAGGCCGAACAAAATGAGTGCCCCACTCTCCAGTTGTATGCAGCATCTCTTTATTGGTGAAAAAAACGCCATGATGCCATGTGGAATCCATAGAATCTGCCAGGTTCGGTGGCGCCTCCCGTTTGGCCACTAGTTCCAGAGCGATCTACCTAGCAGGAGCGGCGAAGTTAAAACCATGGTACAAAGCCAACATCACGGGGACCTCATGGGATATGGTTCCAAATCCCAATATGGGTATGGATCAATACCTATAGATACCATTTTTAGTGGGATGAACATCCATAAATCCCAGCTATTTTGATGTTCACCAGGGGTACAAGGTTTTGACACACTGCCATATCTTGCCCATGAGGGGTGAAGATTCTCTAAGAAAGCGATCTTCTCGAGGTGCAAGGGTTTTTAACCAACCAATCTGCCTCTGGCGGCCCAGAAAGCCTCAAGAACTTTCGGCAGGTCGAGACGGTGTCGTGACATCCTACTCTGCAGGCTGATATTGTATGGACGTGGCTGGGGAAAAAGGTGAACATGCGGGTATATCCTTGGAAATCTCCAAGTTGAATTCTCTTCATCCAGTTGTCAGTGCCAATAATTCAATTACCAGGTTTTCTAAAACGCAAACAGCTGATAACAACTCCGAAAAAGGGTAGAAAAAAGGATAGAGACGTAAAAACATATGAGAACATACTTTGCTCTGGGTCGCTACAGATGATAATATGAATATGATGTATATATATATATATGTATATACACATACACATTCTCCAGGCTTCATCTCAGAGCAGCTCTTTTTTTTTGTCAGGTACTTTGAGCCTCACGGGCCGTTGTCGCTTACAAGAGGCTCCTGCTGGTCCAGTCATCGGCATGCGGGCCCTGCCAGGACCTGAGATGACAGCGGCCCATCACCGAACGAAAGCATGAGGTGTAACCAACAATTACCCTCTGGTAAATTAACATAGACCCTGGCAGTCATCGGGGTTGGAAGACTAGTGAAACCATGAAAAATGGGTGATTTTCAGGGTCAAACTGTTTATTTACCAGAGGGTAATGGAATATCCTGGAAATATCATTGACTATATATGATATATGTATACATATATATATATACATATGTTGGGTAATTCTCAACAGCAGAGACTGTTGGGTTGACATCTCTGTTGGGAAAGGAAGCCTGGAAGCTGCTGTTGGGCTGCGAAGACCTTTTTTCTTACCATCTTTTGAGGGGATGAAGGCTGACGAAGGTCCATAAATCCCGGCTATTTTGGTGACTTCACAGGGTTCCATGGTCTTGACTCATAAACCAAATGGAGGAATCTTCAAGATATCATGCAAGAAACATAGGGAACTCTTGTTCTCGGTGTATCGAAGGTTAGGTATGTGTGTTGGAGAGTTCCGTTGGTTTTCGTTCCTTCATCAAGGAAAAGCTGCATGGAGGAAGAGATGTTTTTGAACCCTTTCCATGCATTAGAGAGGCGTGTGTATACATCAAGATTCTTGTCGAAAACACCATTGGAAAAAACCTAGAGGCGCTTCTATGATTTCAAGCCTTGCCTTGCTGCTTGAGGTTCCTTTCGGCATATCAGCGGCTCTACTGCGCAGTGCTTTCCTCTGTGTATGTACTCGCAATACCAGCGATGTACCAGTTGGCGCGGCTACGCGGTGGACCCCGAGTTCCTGTCTTTGGCAGCATCAGTGCAGGGCTTAGTCAACCCATCTGATCGCTCCACAACCAGGTGTTGAAGATAATTAGTGAGGTAAACATGGTGAACCGTTTAAACCCAATGCCATAGTCACCCCACTTGAGGTTTGTGAAATTGGGTATACTCCTTGAAATGGGATGGCAATTTTCAAAGAACCCCCGGTCGGAAAATGAAACCTGGCCCAATTGGGATAGATCCAACTGGCCAACGATAAATCCATCCAGGATCCATCATAAATCATCATATTTTGCGTATGAATCCTTGGATTTTGGCCACCAAAATGGCAATTGTTTCCATTGTTTTGGGGTGCTTACCTCAGCTCCCAGGTGCTGTTGTGGAGAGCAATGCAGGGTGTGGCCGACATCTATTCCCGGTCGGGCGTCAAGGGAATAGATGGCCATGGCCCACATGACACAAAATGACACCAGTTTTTTATCCAACAATAGTGAGGTTAATGTCAACCCCGGATGAATAAGCCCTGACTTCAATTGGGATTACCAGCAAAACAGTGACAAATTGCTATTCAATTTGTGCCCCCCGTAGTACTAAACTGAGGGTTTAGCACAATCCTGATATCCCCATTATGCCATCATGATGATTTTCCCATTACATCCCATGAAAATCAAGGTTATAACCACCAACTCGATATCCTCTGATAGCTATTGAAAATGGGCCATGGAAATAGTTGATTTACCTATCAAACATGGTGATTTTCCAGAGTTTTTTGTATGTTTACCAGGCCGGGTCAGGTTTTTATGTCCAGGATGAATCATTTTTATCATCTCCCGAGTTCGGCCAGGGACTTGGCCTTTGTGGCAGATGTGGCTGGTCCGTGGCTCCCTTGGTGCAAGCGGAGTCTCAAAGCGGTTTTGGGTCACCGGAAAGTCCTGAAGTTTATCTCATGGATATGGGTGAAATTCTATAGATATCTAGAGATACCATATTATATAGACATATATATATACATATATATATATGTGATCTGTATGAGCAAGTACAATCATAGATAAACATATACATACACGAAAGCACAAGCGCTTAAAACCAGTTAGATGCTGGACGGTGGTTCATTGTTTGTTGCTGAACTCTCCATCATCTGCATCTCCTTCCAGGATCGACCCCTCCTCGCATGTTTGTTGATCTCAAAAATCCCTAGGCCCTGGCGGCCCTGGATGCGAAAAAATGCTAGGCATCCCTTGGTTTCGGATCGCTGTTCATCGAAGGTCCATCCATTTGTGGAGCACCAAATCCTGGCAGTGGCTGTCACGGCTGGAGTTGCCGCAAGGCCATGTGGGCACCATTCAACAGCTGTGCTGTTTCTACTCCAGTAGGGATCAACACATCTTGGTGGGTGCAGTTTGACCAACAGTAGATGATCTACACTATATACACTTTAAACGGTGCAAAATTGGGGCTCGTTGTTTGGTTTACCACAGTATTTTCACAGTATGTTTTGCAAGGAAAAACTTATATATGATATATATATACACACATATGATACATACATATATATATATACACATATTTATACGTTGCATGGGGGTGACCAAAACCTATTGTACTTGGGGATGAACATCCATTTACCAGCTATTTTGGTATTCCGCAGGCCGTTTAACCAATAGCCATCTATCTCTATCTCTATCTATATCTATGTCTATGTCTATATCTATATCTATATCTGTCTCTGTCTCTATCTCTATCTCTAGCTCTATCTCTATCCATATCTATACCTATATCTACATCTATATCTATCTATATCTATATCTACATCAACATCTACATCTACATCTCTAAGAAGTATATATTGTCAAGGAGAATAACCGAAGTTGAACACGTATCAAGAGCTGGGGCGCAAAACCACCCATATCATCAAGGATCGTCCAAGAGCCTTGCGGGTAGGTGTTGAGACATCTTTAGGGGCCTGTCATGATTCCAGCAGTTGGGAATTTGCCCATGACATCAACTGATTAAAATGACAGTGATGCTGTACTTTGTGAAGCAAAAAAAATCATCCAGGATATGGTAGGCTTTAATCATTTTGCATCTGAAGACCGAAAAAAAATCCACAGAGATGTGATGCTCCATCCGCGCTCCACTTTTGGATCAAGTACAAATAGGTAAAATTTTCAGATCCTCTTGAAGCCCGAAACTTAACTTTCGACGGGACTGCAGCTGGTGACAGGAACCCACAAAAACGATCGACTTGTTTTTTCATGGAAGCAAGATCTGGCGGCCCAGATTACATCCATATTTTCTGGTCTAAACTCGAAGATGGGCTGTAACCAGCAATTGCTGGGTGGATTTTTTCTCTGCGCAGGAATCGCCAGGTTTTTTTTGTTCCAACCGAGTCAAGGGGAATGTCCAGGGGCCCTCTCGGGCCCATAGTATTTTTCCATTTTTGTAGTGGTTGGCCAACGATACGGTATATGTTGCGTGTTTGATCATGGCACATCTGGTCAGGGCCAGTACTTGGTAATCAAACCAGCGGAAAACTCTGCTTTTTTATGGGAGGATTTTCCAACTAGCCATGTTAGACTATCAGAGGGTGATATCTAGGGTTGATTCAAAAGAATGGTCAATAATCACATATGGTCCATCATCAGATACCTCATCACATGTGGTCAGCTTACTGGTGCTTAGTGGGGAATTTTCGGGAATGATCCAAAACAAAATGAAATAATCATCCCAGCAACCCCCATTATCATTCCCTGCTAAGCACCAGTAAGTCAAGCATCACGTATGTAAACCGTTTTTGAGAGGTGTTCTGTAGAAATGTGGGAGCGGAACATCCATTGCTACCAGTTTTTTTTGATGTGGAAACCACTGTTTGGTTTTGACCAGTTGTCATATGGATGAATTCTAATTCAAGTAACCAACCTAAATGATTTACAAACAATCGGGGTTCTGACTAGGGAAATTTGAAGAAATGCTCCTTTTCAATAGGTAGATCCACTCGGGTTTATCTGAACATCTCACATCCCCTGCTCTCATCATTTTCCTATTGACATAGCCATAAAATGGGGCATCCCATTCTTGGATGAACGTATTCGTCGCCCATTGGTATATCCCATCATTGTTTGTAACTGTCACGGTTTTTGATGGTTAAAAATCACACTTGGGTTGAATCCCACTTTCTGGCGACGCAACCCCACATGTTTTGCGGTGAAATTCAAGCTGCTGAAGTTCCGATTCTTGATGCTACAATGTGGTGCCCCCCAGTTATGTTTGTTGTTTCATCCCATTATGTAGTTCGATATATCTACCTTCAATCCTCGTGACATCTTACTGATGTCAACCCTGGCTGAATAATCCCCGCTGTTGAACACATTTTTTAGTGGATAGCATTTACCCTCAGGTAAACTAACATAGCTATTGAAGCCATGGCCATTGAGTTCGTGGATTTACCCAGCTATAAAATGGGTGGATTTTCCCATCAGTTTTTTGTATGTTTACCAGAGGGTACCCCGAAGATTCAACATGGAACCGATAGCAAACACATGGCAGATGAGTTTCCCAACATGGAAAATGATCATGGGGATCTTGGTGAAGTCTCATGGTATTTAAGTCTCATGGGGAAGATCTCAGATTTTTTCATTCGGAAGATCAAAACCACCCGGCTGAAAACCCACATCTGAGGTCCCCGCTGGATCGGTGCTTGGCTGCGTCTGTGGGAAAAAATCAAAATGAAGAAATAGACCAAAAAGAGAAATGGATATCAATGAACAGAGCATATCAATAATATCAAGGACTCAAAAACACTTCGAACAACACCCCGAAAAGTCAGGGTGGAGGCATAGCAAACATGATCAAACTGGCATCGGAAGAAAAGGACTGCGCACTGCCAAGCACTGCCACAGCACCGTGGATAGCCGTCTCTACAATGAAGTTTGCCAAAACGCTGTCAACTCAGCCGCGGGTGGGGAAGGTTTCGCCGTGATCGCGTGTAATGACCGAAGGTTTGGCTAACAATTGCTCATGTATGAAACACCCAACGATCATCATCATCATCATCATCATCATCCTCATCCTCATCCTCATCACCATCCTCATCATCATCCTCATCCTCATCCTCATCCTCATCATCATCATCATCATCATCATCCTCATCCTCATCCTTGTCACCATGATGACCATCACATCTATCGAAGGATTGGCCAGTTTTCCGTTCGTCATCTCCTCATCATTTGGAGTTTGCCATCTTCGTCTTTGCCATGCTTCGCAAGGCTGGAAGGAGAGCTTCTGCAGGAATGGCGACCGCGTGGCTGGCGTGGTTTTGGATGCAAAACGTGCAGTGAAGGCCACGCAATATCAATCAATAAACCGTTTGAGGTTTTCTTTGGAACCCTCATGGCCATCGTCAACGCTGGGGCCAGGCAGTACGTCAACTACAAGATGCTCAAGAAGGCACCACGAAAAAAATGGGGGTTTCGCTAATGATTGCCTACAGATTCCCACAAAGCCAATAGATAGTACTGTGATAATCAATAGAATCGTTGGCTGCCATTCTATGTTTTTTGGACCCAGCAAAAAAACTTCCCCCCTTCTTGCGGCAGTCATCCAGTAGAACCACAGATTGATGGTCAACACTCAGACCTTGCCTGATTTTTGTTTGTATTGCCAATATTTGGTCTTCCTCATTTGTTTCCTGCTTAGTTTCTCAGGTATTGTCAATTCGTTCAGCTGCCAATTGGCAAATTTTTGGCTTCCCCGTTCCCCAGTTGTTTCCCATTCATTTCTCACTTATTCCAGATTGTATCCCATTCACTTTTACTTTATCCTCACATATTCCACAGCCATTCCCTGTTTATTTTTCATTTCTTGACCATTTATAGCATTTTTTCAGTTGATTTACTGCCCTACAATTTTTCATTTATTAAATTTATTCGGAATTCATGTTCATCAATTCTTTCCCACAAAAAGTTTCCATCCCATCCATTCCCCAGTCTTTCCGATGTGTTTGCCATTTTCCATTTTGTCCCCGCCAGTGTTTCCTCAGGACGCATGTAGGTGGTAGTTTCACAATTTCATGATTTCGATCCACACGGCTGGGTATCTTGAACTAACGATCATCATTTGGAGGTTTCCGAAGTCATAGGGGTACCCCCAGTCATCATCCATTTTATTCTCGGATTTTCATGGTAAATCAACCATCCAGCTATTGGGGTATACGGTATACCCTCTGGTAATTTAACATAGCTATTGAACATGGCCATTTATTTCGTGGTTTTTGCCATGAAATATGGTGATTTTCCATAGTTTTTTGTTAGTTTACCAGAGGGTACCCCCATTTTTTTCATGGAACCCCCCCCATTTCGGGTGCCTCAAATGGATCCCTACGGATCCACCTGATCCCATTCTGAGGCTCTGAAGTTGGAAGAAGCTCAGGACACGGCTGAGTTGGCTGGGTGCTGGTGAGTTCGGCCCATCAAAAAAGGGCATTTTTTTTTTGAACTCCAAGAAATGAGGAGATAAAGCCTAGAAGCATGGGAATACATGAAGAATTTCGAAGAATCATGAAGAATTGATGTGAAAAATCACTGAGATTTGTGGTTTTCTCCTTCCGGCGTCACTTTCCCAAGCACCAAAAACGTTGAAAAATCTCGCTGGAAATTCAGGCAGTCCCCGCTTTCTGCAACCTTCTGGAAGCGGAAATCAAAAAGGTCCCGGGATCGGATTTCACTGGCGAAACATCGGCCCAAATGGGGATAGAACGGGTGAAACAATGATGATACCCGGCCTGGTCAACTGTTACAGTTTGCGAACTTGAAAATGGCCATAGAAATAGTGGATTTTCCCATTAACTATGGTGATTTTCCATAGTTATGTTAGTTTACCAGAGGGTAAATGGTGGTTCCAAATATGTCTTGTCATTCTAAATTTCAGCAGAAAAAACTATGAACATCCATGGCTTTCGCTGGGAAATGATTAACGGCGGATTTTCCATGTCTTTTTGTATGTTTACTGGAAGCTAGAGCTTGTAATAAGCAACATTGCCCAGCAAATTCCTCCATTCTCCAGGAAGATCTCTATATACACATAATATATATATATATGAAATATGTACATATTATATATATACATAATATATATATATACACATGATATGTATATATATATATAAATAATATAAATAATATAATATAGTATACAATATAATACAATATATAATATAATATAATATGATATAATATAATATAATATGATATAATATAATATGATATGATATAATATATTATAATATAATGTAATATAATACAATATAATATATTATAATACAATATAATATAATATAATACAATATAATACAATATAATATAATATAATATAATACAAATATAATATAATATAATATAATATAATATAATACAATATAATATAATATAATACAATACAATATAATATAATATAATATAATATAATATAATATAATATAATATATGTCTATATACTTGATTACCCGTTACCCATTCAATGGTTACAACATTACCTCGAAGAATGGCCATTGCCCGGACAAATTTCACGGCGCCCTGGCAGGTGCAGAGCTTCATGATGCAGCAACACGAGATCCTCTGGCAGGCTGGCAGTATTTCGCCGGTCGGGGGTCGCATTTTTCTTAGGATGTGCATCACAATCATTAAGTGGGTAATAAACATAGGTTTGGACACCACGTACGATTCCGATGCCCATTCCAACACCAATTCATGGACCCATCATTATGAGTAATGGGGCATTTGACAATTTGACACCACGTTGCCCTATCATTAATATTCATTAATGGCATAATGAACATCAACAATACCCTCTGGTAATTTAACATAGCTATTGAAAATCACCATTTTTCATGGGAAAATCCACTATTTCTATGGTCATTTTCAATAGCTATTTTGACATAACCAGAGGGTATCATTGCTGGTGAGTTTTTGACATCTGAGATGTTTTAGCGCTTGCTGGAACTGCTACGTAGCAGTTCCGGTGATGTGGAAACACACCAGGTCAAGAGGGTGTATTGATTTCTGTATCGGCCATGAGATGGGTAAGAAACTGGAAGAGCCACATTTTTGAGAAAAGGGACGATGTGCTCATTTTTAGTACTGAACTATCCAAATTCTTGATATATACCGTTTGTTGAATTGTATCCACATCGTTTTCTTCTCGAAAAAATATGCGTACTGTGGTGTTTCCGTCCCCCCAAAAAAGGGATCCAAAGAGAAGATATTGAATATGAATCTATCACTGGAACCCCCTTGATATGGTGGACATTTTTTGGGATCCCCGAAGCCTTGGGCATAGTGCCAGGAGCGCCCAGAGATGATCCTTGTGTTTCTGAACATGTTGTGCCCAATGACCCGTGGTTTTACGGATTTACGGGCAAGAATTCATTTTAAGACACCATCAGTTCGATTTTTTTTCCCAGTTCGATGTTCAAAAAAGTACCATCAAAAATTGCCATTTTGCCATAGAATTGGTTCATATCTCCATGGGATTCCATGAAAAAACCATATTGGCATATGAAGTACAGGATGGGGCCCACCAATTATAAGTTGGTTTATAAACCAATATAACCTCCATTAACTAGTTCGTTATATCTACCATAAACCATAGCATTCAGCCACTTAGTTCAGGCAACGGTTCACGCTATCGACTGGGGGCCCCATCCTGTACCTAATATTGCCATATTAAAAGTACCCTCTGGTAAATTAACATAGACCCTGGCAGATATGGGTTGGAATATTAGTGACCATTAAAACTAGGCTATTTTCAGGGTCTATGTTAATTTACCAGAGGGTACCTAATATTGCCTAATATTGGCTTCGTTGACTCCACCTGCGTTGGTAAAGGGTCCCCCATTTTTACGGGGGCTTGGCATGGCAGGACCTCTCCGCGGGACTGGATGACATTAGCAACCCAGTGAGGCGGCGAAGCGAAACGGGAACGGTTGCGAAATGGTTGGTAAAAACCAGGGTAAAAATCAGGATAAAATGCTTGAGAAGCTCCAAATTTTGGTGTAAATCATCGTGCTGCGATGGATTCTGGAAAGAACCAATTTCTTGTTGGAAACACATTTATTCGTGTTTATAGAGTCTCCATTGTCCTTTGACGCTGGGATATTTCAAATGTCTGGCCACCAGAGGCCTGAAATGATCACTTTCTTCAACACTGAGCCCAGGGGTTGGAGCCTTTATTACTTTTGTAAACATCAACATACCATCCCTTCAATTTTGACTCTTCCCATCTCTTCCCATTCCCATCTTGGAACCAACCTTAGCATTTTTAGAAAGCTTACCGGAAGCGGTCTTTGTTGGATACCATATCCCTTGTTGATGGGCGATGTTTAAAATTGAATGGGGACATTGATTACCAACCCAGAGGCCACTTTGGCCAGTGTACCCATATAATATATATATGTATCCCATGATTTGTGTGAGCATTCTGCACCATTGCGTGTGTTGATCAAATAGCCTCGATGTAGCACAAATGCATCCATCCATCTTAGCGTCCGTCCCATTTTCCCATGCTGTTGTTACTTCTACACCCTGGTAAATTAACAGTTTGACCCTGAAAATCACCAATCTTTCATGGTTTCACTAGTCTTCCAACCCCGATGACTGCCAGGGTCGAAGTGTTAATTTACCAGAGGGTATCTGTTCCACATTTCCACCAGGAGTGCCCTGGTGAGTGTGAATGGTTGTGAATCGATGGTAGAAACCATCCAACACATCCAAAGTTACGTGGTACGGGCGCCTCAGTTTCGACTTGTGGGCTGATGATGGGAAACTCGGTGGCACCCATTGGAAGTGATAGCCACAAGATGGGGGGAACATGAAGAAATTTCACCTGACTTTTACTATCTGTATCTATATTATCTATGATCATTCACTTTCACTATCATCATTAATAGATAATATCATAGAATTATATATATAGATCTACTATTTTTTTATAATGATGATATTATCTTTCATATTCACCTGTCATTATCTAAATCATTAACTTTTACCAAAGCCTGTCCGTTTTCCCCATTTGAATTTTGGGGATGTGACTTCACCAGAGGCTTTGAACCAGATTGCTGTGCGCAAGATCATCAAGAAATTCGACAAGCGCTTCCACGTCTCCTGGAGAAAATTGGTGGAGGAAAGGGGAGAAAACGGACGTGAATGGCTAGTGAACAGCTTTGATTCATACTTGTTGAAGTGGAGGAGAGGAGAGGAGAGGAGAGGAGAGGAGTAGTTCATGCCCGACTATAGGTGTGTACATATCAGATTAGATAGGTATATACTATAGATGTGTTTCTTTCCCAGGGTATCCAAGACTGCCTGGGGATAGCATTTTCATTTTTGGGTTTCACCATGTTTCACCCAAGTACAACATTTCCGAGTAAAGCTAATGGTGTTTCAGATGAGTTTGCGGCAGATTGCATCCTGTTTCAACATCTGCGAAGTGCACCTAAAAGGGCAGCTCTGCTTCAGCGGCATGCCACGCTGCTTGAGCTGTTTTGGATTTTCCATGGTTTTCCTGCGAAAGCGGGGATGATGTACATCTCCAAGCTTCATGAATTCATTTTTAAGGACATTTTTAAGAAGAGGCCCCATAACCACCCAAAATCCCCGACACGGCCTCTAACCCACACCATTCATCATGGTCCAAGCTCTGTCAGGTTCAGTTTAATGAGATGATTTCCATGCCCGTGAAAGATGTGAAAGCGTCGGGATCTCAGTTTGTCGCCCAAACAAATTGCCTGGCAAAGGGTAGCTCAATAGGTTCATTTCTTAAAACCGATTTCATGAACTGAAGGACTCCGTCATCTCTCATTATAAATCCTGCGTATGCATCCTACTCGCAAAGCCAAGTCCAATGATTTGGAACATCATAATTTCCCATCATTTTTCCAACGAAAAACTGGGGGTCTTGTCACGTATACGTATAGCGTATAGCCTAATACACCCCACAAGGTGAGGCTCCGTGATGTTCTGCCTAGTTGGAGCCTTGCTGAACTTTTGAACCTAGCTATTTGAACCAAAAGCCATAGTTGATTCCGCTATAGTCATATCCCAGTCACCAGTTAACTTGGCATAGAAATTCGACATGTTTCGATGATTTCTTTCGCGCCTTCGGTCAGGAACTTGGTGATCAACGCGACGAACATTGGCACCTGGCTCCTGGCACCCGCACAGCAGTGCTTGAGGTGCGGGTCATGCGGGTTGTGACATTGTCACTCCAATAAGCCCAATGTCACTATGGTTCATGATACAAAAACTTACTGGTGCTAAACGTAGGGAATGGATGGGAATGGGGGTTGCTGGGATGATTATTGATAGTTAGCCAGTGGATCATTCCCGAAAATTCCCTGCGTTTAGCACCAGTAAGAAAATATCGAGCTTTTTTTTCATGGGCTTCATATGGCTTCATAATACTCATAACTGGGGGGGGGACCACTTTGATGCAACTGATGAATTGGAACATATTGGTTTTTGTCGCTGACATCAGTGGGAAATATGAGGAATCCGAGAGTCCCCGGAACTGGAGAAATCTGCCAATGCTGCCGACCATTTTGCCCAGCGGTATACAGTATATTCCTCTATTGATTCTATAGGTTGACCCCTCCCATTTTGGGGCTAGCTTTGCTGCAACCCATAGGTTGGTGCGCAACTTCAACACAGCCGCTTGGACAAAAATCCAGAGGAAAGAGGAGAACTTCAGCAGAATATCAGCAGAATTACAGAAATTTTAGCAGAATTTCCAGCAGAAAAACTGGGTATGGATGAATATGATCAAGCTTTCAATATGGAGAGTTCTAAACTGCGGCCCAACATGTGAGATTTGGTCACCCGTAGGTCACTGAGGGCTCTTACTCCATCCATCATGTGTGGATGGTGAGCAGGAAAAAAAACACATATTGTCAAACCATAGTGACAGCAAATTCCGCCCAATAAACAATGACACCAGTTCATATGGTTTAATAGTAAGAATACGTAAGAATTCCAGCATGGCTTAATGATTATTAATATGGCTTTGATGTGGTTTTAACATGCTTTCATAGTAAAAATGACATCAAGTTTTTCCGGCTCCAATGGTGCCTTTTCCCCCCCAAAAAAACCACCTTGAACCACAGCGGAAAGACCTTCGAGGCCCAGGTGGGGGGCATTGAACGACCCCTGCGGCAGTTCAGTTTCTGGGTGCAGGACGGGAAACTGAAAGCTGCAGGATGGGGCCCACTTGGTGGCTCATCCCACGAATCGTAAGTGGGTTATAACCCCAGTTATAAATGGGATAAGTAGGATTAATCCACTTATAACTGGGGTTATAACCCACTTACTAAGTGGGATGAGCCACCAAGCAGTGAAATGTTTGTTGTTGGGATTAACCCCCATCTAAATGTACTTACTATATGACTAACATACAAAAAAAGTATCAGCTAAACAAGCAAAGTATGTTTGTTACTATGATTAACCCCATCTAAATATAGTTGATATAGTTATTTAAGCGTATCATACACCAACTTTATGACATAGCTATAAACGCAGCAACTTAGCTAACGAACTGGGGCCCCATCCTGTGGGAAAATACCATGTTTTTTTGGTTCCCGAAAATACCTTGGAAACCGGGCAGAGATAAGGGGAAAACGTCATCGAATTACAATCCTGGCTTCATACTTTCCGGTCTGGGGGTTGCTGGAGCACTGTTAAAATTGGAGGTCAATTGGTCAATCATTTCGGGGGACACATATCATTGGGGGGTAGGACTCCGGTAGGACTGGGTGTTGGCATGAAGCGCATCGTTCCCAATTAGCTGTTCCAAGCTGAGTCCCAATCAGCTGTCGCATGCTGCCTCCCATAAGGGGAAGGGTGACAAAATGAAAGACTTGGTAATTGAAGCAACCCCCAAAAAGATAGACACATTTTCCAGGATGGTTTATATGATGTTTTTCCCCATATTTTTGAGGTTTCCAATCTTTTTTACTTTTTTAGGGATTGCTATAGGATACCGCGAATTCCGCAGAACGGGACCGGCTCGAGGCATTTATAAACCTTATCCCCTCCAAAAAAATCATGTTTCACCCAATACCCTCTGGTAAACGTTTACATAACTATGGAAAATCCACCCATTTTATAGCTGGGTAAATCCACTATTTCTGTGGTCATGGCTTCAATAGCAAACTGTTAGTTTATCCAGTATCAACCATTTTTATGAACCATTATAAACCATTATAAACCATTATAAACCATTATAAACCATTATAAACCATTATCAACCATTATTAACATTTTGTTTACCAGAGGGTAGCTATTAAACCAGTTTATAGGTTATTAACCATTATTGTCCGTTATTATCCATTATTATTATTATTATTATTCCATAAGTCTCTGATTCTCTATGGTAAATCCACTATTTCTATGGTGATTTTCCATAGTTATGTGGCTGTTTACCAGAGGGTAGTCACCATGACAAACCATTTTTAATAGGTAAACCATCTATAAATGGGCCATCTATACCATGGCTATGTTAAATAAGCAGAGGGTATATCAATCATAAGTTGCAGGAGCTTCGTGCCGGTGCTGTACTGGCTAAGTTTCTGGAGCCCAGGGATTCAACGGATCCCATGGTACGAATGGGATGTACGACAAGCATATGACACTAATCTATTTAATGTGTACATCTGTACATCTATATTACAATGTATATATATATATATTATATTATATTATATATTATATTATATATTATATTTTATATTATATATTATATATTATATATTATATATATTATATATTATATATTATATATATTATATATTACATATTATATATTATATATGATATATTACATATTATATATTATATATGATATATGATATATTATATATTATATATTATATATGATATATTATATATTATATATTATACATTATTATATATTATATATTATATATTATATATTATATATTATATATTATATATTATATATTATATATTATATATGTTACACATATATATATATATACACACTGTATATGGAATGATCCTCCAGTGCTATAAGCTGGGATCCTCCTAGACCGCCAGCTTGACAGCTTTGGAGCTCAACTCTAGCTGTGGACATATTGAGGCTAAAAATCCCATAGTTGGTTTATCCACATTAAATATAGTGTAGTTGATAATCCCATAGTTGATGTAACTATTAGGGTATCCAATTATTATCTCGTTATATCAACAATGGGTGATAATCCCATAACAATCTCCCCATATCAAGTTATTATGCCCTAGTAATACTGAGTTATTGGAGTTATAAACCACATTGGAGTTTAGACGGCTTTTATGAGTTTTCCACGGCCTGAATAGTGTGGACACTATTCCCATTCCAAAACCCACTGGCATGGGCAAATCAATCAATCAATCCCATTTTCCCAACATTTTTGGTGGTAAAGATCCCATGTTCCCAACATGTTTCCCAACATTTTCCTAACATTTTCCCACCATTTTCCCATGTTCCCAACATTTTTCCCCAGGTTTCTCCCAGAAACACCCCCGGTGGTTTGCCGTTGGAAACTCTCGCGAGGAACTCCTTGGGGTTCTAAGGTCATCCGTGGCAGGTGAGGCGGCCATGAACCTTCGCCTGCAACTCACATGTGGAAAGGCGGGAGAGACAGAATGGACACCTTGGGTGATGCCTAGATTTGTGATGTTAGTTATGTTGGTTTCAATCAAACCCATGAACTCTAATATGAACTATAGTTTTTTTTTTTCCAACCATATCTACCAAAAGCAAACACATGGGTTGATAGTGAATAATCATGGTTATCCTTATTGATAATGGATAATCATGCATAGTTGATTATTATCCATAGTTTATACTTTTCCGTAGTGGATTATTCATCATTATTTATAATTGTTAGTAATGGATAAGCATGATAAATAAGCATTGATAATGGTTAATACCGAATAATCATTTTTAATAATGGAGAAGAATGATAATCAATAATGGATAATCATGGTTAATATGAACCACACATGCAGATAGATAGATGGATCGACAGATAGATAGATAGATAGATAGATAGACAGACAGACAGATAGATAGATAGATAGATAGATAGATAGAAAAATCGATTAGCTTAGCTTAGCTTAGCTTAGCTTAGATAGATAGATAGATGGATGGATAGCTAGTCAAGTCAGATTATTTTATAAACCAACAAACCTAAGAGCTGGCAATCTATCGCAGACATTTTGGCTGTGGGAATTAGGCATGACCCCACGGGAAGGCAGAAGGATTTTCAGATCCAGCCTGAAATTGATGGTGGGATTCTGGGTGAGACACTCATCTGGTCCTGGCAAAAAAAACAAGCTCTATTGTTGTTGGTCAAATCTTTAACTTTCGGCTGAATTTTCACAGCTTTTTGGGTGATAGAATCCCAAGTTGTTGGTGATCACAGAATTGGATGATGGGAAAATTGGAACCGGAAACCTTCCTGTAGATTTCCCTCAAACCAATCCATTGAGATACCCTCTGGTAAACTAACATAGCTATGGAAAATCCACCGATTTTTAATGGGAAAATCCACTATTTCTATGGTGATTTTCCATAGTTTTTTATTAACGTTTACCAGAGGGTATCTCAATGGAACTGTAATCCTCTGGTTGCTGAAATCCTTGGCTTTCTGTGCCAGGACCTCCAGTGCAGAGTCAGGCTGGATCGCGGATAGCGACCCCAAAAACATGGGATATTTTTTTTTTCAAGATTGTCTAACCACACATTAAGAATCTAGAACATGGGGTATCCGTCATTTTGAGTTTATACAACTTTATTTTGCAGAAACCATTCATTTTTTTCAGTCATTGAAGAGATTGACCAAGAACACATTTATTGAAGATCTATCCAGTGGCCAGGAACACATTTATCGAAGTTGGTGAGAAGGAGATGTGTGCCGCACGCGGACGTGCCTCGGCGTAGCGTTTCAGGTTTTTTCTGATGTTTTTTAAGGGTGCCAAAAATCAGGACCGGAAGGACCATAGAAATCCTTCACCTATCATCCGGTCACGTCAATGGAGAATCATCACTTTTTTTCGGGAATATCCCAGGAAAACCTCGAGAGATCAGATACCCTCTGGTTATGACTAACAGTTCGCCATGGAAAATCACCATTTTTAATAGGTAAGCCATCTATAAATGGGCCATTTTCCATGGCTATGTTAAATAACCAGATGGTAACTGGTAACTATGAAAAAAAACCATGCTTGATGACACTGGAGGGTACACAAGAACCAAACAAAAACTGTTGGGGCCTGCTTGGTGACGTCGCCATTGTTCCTGCTCGTATTTGATAGCCCTCATAACTGATTTTACCATGTGACTTATGGGAAACCACGGGACTTTTTGTTGCTACAATATTTTCAGACAAATCCCATGTTTTCCTGTCAATCTTCCCCTGTCCGAGGCTCTAGCTCTCTTCCTCCCCGACTGCGTGAGCAGGCACGTGGCAACATGGATAACATGACCTTCCCACTGAAGGGAAGTTCGACGGGCAGATGATTGGTGATTTGTAGATGATTCGATGATCCTGCAACAGAATCAAAGAGTGGATCACTGGGAATTCCAGGATCCTAAATTGGAGGTACCTACCATATATAAGGCCTTTTTTTCAGGCTCTCAGCGGCTCTCCCCTTTTTTTTTTCGGCAGTCGTCTCTCCCGGACTTGCCCATCATTGCTTTGGAACACGTGATTTGTCCGTGCCCCAAAGGGATTGATGCGGGATTGATGCGGGTACTGGTGGGTGCTCGCATCCAGAGGAAGTTAAACATAGTTACACAGTTAAACCATCACACACAGGCACAGTATATGGTATCATACATCATAAATTTCATCATTATGTGTACTGGGGAAATCATCCCATATACATCATAAATTTCATTATAATGGTATCACAATTAGCTGCATAATAGCTCCGTTTCATGGTTTTTTCTTGAGCCTCGATCTTTTTGAGCCATCATCATGTTTCTGTTTATGTATAATTTATAGATATTTATATTTAATTTCATAGTGTTAAACCATCATGGTACTTAAAACATCATAATTTCAGAGTGAAACCATCATTATGCGACCAGGTTTTTGGGGTTTCATCCTGGTGTTACTGCTTATGTTTCCTGCAGGAGTCCCCTAAAACGACTCCCCGGATTTTTGAAAAGGTGAAGGGGAGGCACGAATGGAATCGCAAAAGATGGAACCATATTATATATATACACACACACATATTTGGGTTTAACATGAACATAACTATAGTTAATGGTTTATGGTTTTTATATATATATATATATTAACACTTTGAATGAGTTTCAGGTTTTCACATCCACGATCCATTGCTGAATATTCAGCCACGATCATTTGATGGTTTTTCATCATGTCACATCCCTAGAATTGATGCGGAAAATACACTTATAGAAACACGCCGAAAACCTTCCTCATGGATAGACTCTACCTTGTTGCAGTAGCATTGCATGTCTTGTCATGTTGAAATCCTCATTTTGGTTCATACCGACTTTTGGCCCAGGCACTGTTAAAATGTTCGTGCCGCTGCAGTGTTACTGGGTGTTGGCTGTGCGCCACTGCAATGACAAACGCCACTTAATTTTCACGAATTTATCGATGGTCAGTCCCAATTCTTGGGTGGCGTTATTAAACCATCCCCATTCCTGTCCCATAATATCCCCACTATTCAACTATTCAACCATAAAATCACCATAATATCATTTCATATCACCATTTTTGTGGGTTAAATACCCAGTGTTGTTAGTAAAATCCCCGATTCTCCGATAATTATATAATACAATATTATATCTCCCATATTCCATTTGTTCTTTGTCATTCTATGATTGTTTTCGACTCTTGAACCCTTATTTGTGCCCATGATTTTCGACCATTGTATCCCCATTCCCCCGTCATGATCTTGACTGGGCATGAGGCGATACCTTGGAGGTTGCTCCGCCGAATCGAGAGGCGACCGGGACAGTTTTTTTTTAACCATTCATTGTTTATATGATAATAAATAAATATATATATATACATGATATGCATGTATGTATACATGATTATAAATGCATACATGCATATGATGTACATATGATGGCGTATGTATATCATATCAATCATACATATGTATAATATATATATAGAGATACATATTGCATTTATTTCCATCGTGATCTTTTGAGTGTATGATGAAAATGTGTCCCAGAACTGTGATTCACATTTGGCTCTGAGATCTCGGAATCTCGGTGAGGTCTGTGAGTATGACAGCGAATCAGCTTATGAAGAGTATTCCCCGGTGCGGATGCTCAAACTGCCAACCCCAGGTGGAAAGCCTTCGCAGCCTTCGGCCGTAAACCGCAACGTTTTTGGTCGGTTTTTGTCCAATCGCATCCTCTTGGTTTCATGAAACCCATGATATAACTACAATTACATCCGAGAAACCCAAACGCAATCTCATAAGATAAGTCAACTTAGATCAACTTAGGTTTTTTGGGGTATGTAACATATGTCATTGGTGACGTTGGCAAACTTATTGGTGACATAAAGCACGTTAAACTCAGGCTCAGGGCAGCAACTGGCAGCGGGACGAAGGCGAGAATTTCAACATGATGACTGGAACATGGCCGTGAATGGGTCCAGTGTATGTATTACCCTCTGGTAAATTAACAGTTTGACCCTGAAAATCACCAATTTTTCATGGTTTCACTAGTCTTCCAAGCCCGATGACTGCCAGGGTCTATGTTAATTTACCAGAGGGCAAATGTAATTGTAATCGTAATTTCCTGTTTAAAAGATTTGATCATTAGCCAGTCAGTATTCACCACTATTAACCAGTGACCATTATGGTGACTTATACTGATGGTTTTTTGGGTATACCATTAAAATCCATTAACCACTTAAGCAGTCTTTTAACCATTATTAACCATCATTAACCATCATTAACAATCATTAATTACCATTAAATCACCATTAAATCACCATTTGTTTGTTGATTTCTGGTAGCCATTGGAAGCCGTTCCTGCGCGAACAACTTAGCCAGGCGAAGCAAAAGAGGCCAAGGTGTGGGCCGATTTGATCCGAAGTGCGACGATTTCGACCACAATTTTGGCTCCACCAAAAAAAACCAAAAAACGACAAGAGCCTTGGGGGTATTAGATGATATTACTGTACATGATATTACTGTAGATTATATTACTGATGATATTACTGATGACCACATGGGATATAGTTGTTGGTGAACTGTTTTTTTTTTAACTGTAGATGATAGTGGTTATCTCAAATATTACTGATGATATATGGCGACTGTCGCTCCCCAGCAGGTCGATGCCACTTGGCATTCCTATCCAGTCAGAGAGGCAAGCCAGGGAGTGGTTGTCCCCAGCCGCCCAAAAAGTGCCCCCTTTTTTTTGCTGGAAAAAAGTGGAAAAAGGTATAGGATATGCTTGAGATATAAAAACTCATGCGACCTCCTGCAAGGATCCACATAATCCACATATTTTGATGGCCAGATTGTGCCCATTTTAAAGCCCTGGCAGCCAGTGTTTGATGGTTCGGTGCTCCCGATTCTTGTGACTTAAATCACATGTTCCGATGAATTTTTGGTTTTCTGCTAAAACAGAAGCTTCTCGCTTAAATCTTTATGTTTGGGTTCAAACTCTTCTTCCTCTTGTTTTTAATCATCTTAAAGTCCTATTTTACCTGATTGAATCACCAGTTTCCTTGCTGAAAAGCACCTGGCGTCAGGCGCATCGCTGGGTTTCTGCAAGCACCGCAACGCCCTCGGTGGCTCGGCGGACACCGCGAACAATTCGCGCTGGCGTTGGAAACCACCTGCTTTCCAGAGCTAGGATATATGGATCAATACCTATAGATACCATTACCATCCATTTATATATAGATACCATGACCATTACCATCCATTTACCATCCATTTACCAATTTTACCAGCTATTTTGATGTTCACCAAGCATTTTTAGGGGGATGACCATGCAGCACCAGCTATTTTGATGTTCACCATCGTCATGGCCATGACGTAAACAAGGAAGAAAAACCCATATACGAAGCGACCTGGAAAGTCACTATTTTTCTTGTAGGTCAATCATACATCATCTGTAAATGTTCCATTTTCATCCATTTTCCATAGCTATGTTAAATAACTAGCGGGTAAATAATCGGATAATCATAGCCTATGATTCCCATCGGGGTATAGCATGAGATGAAACCAATAGGAGGAGAATACAACGCCTGGAGGGCGATTGTCTAATTGCGTCTGTTCATAGGTTTACCCTCTGGTAAACGTTAACAAAAAACTATGGAAAAACACCATTTTCAATGGGTAAAAATCACTATTTCTATGGCCATTTTCAATAGCAAACTGTTAAATTACCAGAGGGTACAATGTTCCAATCCGCTTTCTTCAACCTACTCTATCCCAATAATATGATATAATATGTATCAACGAGGGCAATGGTCGACCATATGGCATATGATAGTATTGTCTCATTTTGTCTCTTGTTATATTGCATCCACTATCATGGGATATTGTAGCATTGCATCATGTTGATTTTGCTACTGTCATTGGTCGTCTATCATTGAGTATCCTTGTATACCACTATTGCTATGATTGTCCAACACTTCATTAATCGTAATCATCGCCTGTGCCATATTCATTCCAGCAAATTTCTATGGGTGAAAACACTGGTACCCTGCTGTTCACATTCAAATAGTTGCTCCTCACAGATGTTCATGCCCACATGGAGACGGTCTTATAGGTGGCATGACCCATGCCCAAATGGATTCAAACACCAGCAGTAGGCCCAGCCGGCTGTTAATATAGTTTCCTGGATGTCAGGAAATGCATAGCCTCGGGAAAACAAACAAATTGTTTGATTGTTTGCTGGAAAATCCACCATTTAGATTTTCCAAAATTGCCATGTTTGATGACCGGAGAATCCAGTAATATGTCGTCGAGCCGCGAAGCCATGGAGGCAGGCAGGTTACGGCAGTCCCTTTATCCTTCTGGGGGATGATCTGATGATAAACTGAGGGCAAATCCACGATGGCCTCGGCTGTGACCTGAGAGCGCCTTTAAAGCGCTGTGTTGGTTGATGATTACCCTCTGGTAATGGCTGACATAGCTATTGAACATGGCCATTTATAGTGAGTTTTCCCTTTAAACATGGTGATTTCCCATAGTTATGTTAGTTTACCAGAGGGTATGTAGTATGATATTACTGCTTGGTGGTTGGTTTGGAACATGAATGGATTATATGACTTTCCATGAAAGTTGTGAATTTCAGAAAATCCCAACTGACGAACTCATATATTTTTCAGAAGAGTTGAAACCACCGACCAGATTATATAGGGGCTTGTACTACCCAATATTAATTGGGGATGATCATAAATCCATGAACGAGGAATCCCGTTCTTAACGAGGAAGTAGAAATACTGCTCAATTGGTGTGCGTGTTTCTCCAGGCGAATAAATCTGCTTGCGAAGATTGATTATCAGGGCATGGGCCGACCCATGGGAAAATAAATGTCCTGGAAGAGTTCTTGTACGGGAACTGCCAAAAAGATGTAGATCTGAGTAAAAACATGGAAATCTTTTCATTTTTCCATTACATCATCAGATATAATCTGGTTGGTGGTTTGGAACATGAATTTTATTTTTCCATATATTGGGAATGTAATCATCCCAACTGACGAACTCCATCATTTTTCAGAGGGGTTGGTATACCACCAACCAGTAATATGTTGATTCATTTGTCCAGATAAATACATGGATTTTGGCCTTATTTTCCCTTGCATCCAGCCGTTTTGGGGCCTAGGCCCAACAGGGCATTGTTGATTCACCCTGGGAACAGAAAGGCAAAGGCCGCGGCTGGGAGGAGAAAAATCGGTGGATTTTGGGGCACTCTATTGACCCACTTGGTGTCGACTTGTAAGCTGTCGACTTGGTGTTTCATCCACGGAACTGACGTTTCCCACTTCGCCTGCAGATGTTTCTGTCCGCGTCTCACCTTCCCCTTCCGCATCCTGTGCCACGTCCCACCGGCTTCGCGCCGTGCCATGGAGCTGTGCCCCGACCTCCGCCTCTGCGCTACGCCCTGCTTGCGGCTGGGTGCCGCCTGACCTGCCGTGGCGTGCGGGGTGGAAAGGAGGAACTGTTGCGCAGCGGCGTGTGGGAAGGAAGCTGGCAAGATGTGCTGAAGGCAGGCAGTGAATCGCAGTGAAATTCAAGATGAACTTTACCATCTCCAACTGGTGTTTTACGCTTGGATTTACTGTAGGGGCAAGGGCACTAAGTTGGACATGGTTGGGGTTTGTTGATGCCGTAGAAGAGAATTGTTGGAAAATGACAGTGGTCAGCACCTTGAGGTTCTTCATGGTTCTTCATGGTTCATCCCATTTTTCCGCGCCCAGTGACCTTAGCCACTCCAGGCCTGCCACCGCGACCGCTGCGACCTGGGAGCGTCGCGGTCCGCCATCGCGCTGCTGGGGGCGGAGCTAGTGGCCGATGCTGGGGGTCTGCCGGAGGCTGCAGCAGAGCTGGCACAGGCGCTGCGGACGCCACGGCTGGTGGCCTGCGTGGCAGATGGCGCCATTGGACCCTGGGGAAACCCTGGGGAAGGGAGGTTGGATGATTTTTGTTCGGTATTTGTATTGAAGATTGATCCGATTCTGGTTCTTTTTTGGGATTTAGAGCTCTGATATCAATATCTGACTATGTTTTTGTCGAAATCCTTCAACATAAGCTGATCTTATGAAGCAAAACGGAGGATGTGTCATGTTTGAGTGAAAGATCAGGGAGCATGGAGAACCAGTGGGAATTTTAGAGATTCTTTCCGGCCAGCAAAAGTTGGATGCCATGACGGGGCTGCCTGTGGAGGAAGATGTTTGTTACTTTTCAGGATATTCTATCAGAAAAACAATGTTTGAAGCCGTTTTGAGGACACATTTCTTTTGATTTTATCCAAGGAAAAAGGTGGGAATTCATCATGAATATACCCTCTGGTAATTTAACAGTTCGCTATTGAACATGGCCCAGTCGAAATAGTGGATTTTCCCATTAAAAATGACGTTTACCAGAGGGTATCCATAAAATTCCATCTCTACACCTGCCATGGAGGACCCCACTTCCAATCTCATGCAGTGCCTCCCTGGCGCCGCTGGCTCCGCCGCTGGCTTTCCCGCTGTTTCCGCCGGAGCGCCAGCGTTGTGGAGGTCGAATCCTCCAGGGCACTTGCGGTGGCGATGTTCCACTGCAAAGCGACACCGGTGATCCTGTCCTCCCAGGGATTTCCAGAGGAAATCTCAGAGGCGGGGAAGAAAACATGGCAGTTTTGGGATGATTTTGAAACCTAGAAGTGTGCATGATGTTGGTGGTGTTTTGGCAGTGTGGTGGGATTTGTTGCTCATTTTTCAGAGTTGGTTGTAGATATTAGATATCCATCCACACGTCGCGGAGCAGCACAGCTTCAGGATGGTTCAGGCCCACCATGATACTAAGCCCGATGGTCCTCCATCTTGGAGCAAGGCAGTTCTTGTTAGTTACTCATTTTGCCTGTTCAATATAATAACTACGTTGTTGGATATATAGATCATGTCAGATTTTTTCTGCTTGACATCATCCTGACTTTTCTGGGGAATTTCGAAGCTTCACCAGCTGACCGAACCACACACCATCATCAGCTGATACTGAAGATCTCCAGGCTAATCCTCATGGAAATCCAACATTTGCTGGAAATTCTTCGGAAGATCAAACTCCAATTCGCTTGTGTTGGAGGATATCCCAATCTTTCTGGGTCACCCCACAACTGGCTGAACTCAGTTTGAAATCCAAATTGTATCTTCGATTTTCGCTGAGTTTTCTTTCCTCAGTTTTGATAGGCTCTTCAGCCAACCCCAGAAAATTACTTGCAACATCCCCAACATGTGTTATTTCCCCAAACCCACCGACAACAATCTCAGATCTCCCGCCAAAAACAATAAAACAACCACACAAAAACCACAAGTACATACAAATCTATAGAAACCAATAAACAACAAGAAACATCCGGAAAGCAGTCCATAATCACCCAAAACATCACTCAAATGCCCATCAAAGTCCACTTGAACATCAATTTCAACAGAAAATCAGCAGAATTCACATCTTCAAACATCCAATCTATAACACCTACTAGTAGTACCACACAAGGCGGTGGGGGAAGTTTCAAACATAGGAAACCTATAGGAGAGGTTGGTTGTTGTGAATCATGGATGGCAGAGCGAATCCACTGATGGACCGAAAGCTGTGCTGTCTACCTGTCTATCTGATCTGTCTATTGTGTTTTTTGGAGTGGTTGCAATGTTTGCAGTGCAGTTGTAGTTGTAGTCGTAGTTGTATTGTAGTGGAATTGTAGTTGTAATGTTGTATTAAATTTCACGAGCTCCTGGGATTTTGTGATTTTTAGGGAATATTGGATATCAAGGTCAAGATGCAATATTTGGTGCAGTGTACGCGCACAAGGGTGGCACCAAAAAACCTAAGCGTCATGGTTTGCACGGGTTTGCACTGGATCAGCCTTCCATAAATGGAAGTGGTCAAATAAATCGTTCAGAAAAAATGAAACGGTCGGAAACGGTCGGAAACGGTCGGAAACGGTCGGAAACGGTCGGAAACATGATCAGGCCAAAACTTGTTCAACCCGCATTTTTTTTAAAATAAGCATTTCCGCGCAACGCCGTTTTTTTTTTGAAGGTCCAAAGGTGTCCAAGGGGAAACGGTTGGAAACAGTCGGAGATCGCACCTTCGCTCGGCAAAAAAGACATGTTTTTACACAATTTTCAAACATGTTTCATGAACATATGCTACAAAACAACTACTTTTTTGCCGAGCGAAGGTGCGATCTCCGACTGTTTCCAACCGTTTCCCCTTGGACACCTTTGGACCTTCAAAAAAAAAACGGCGTTGCGCGGAAATGCTTTTTTAAAAAAAATGCGGGTTGGACAAGTTTTGGCCTGATCATGTTTCCACCGTTTCCGACCGTTTCCGACTGTTTCCGACCGTTTCCGACCGTTTCATTTTTTCTGAACGATTAATTGGACCAATTCCATTTATGGAAGGCTGATCCAGTGCAAACCCGTGCAAACCATGACGCTTAAGTTTTTTGGTGCCACCCTTGTGCGCGTACACTGCACCAAATATTGCATCTTGACCTTGATATCCAATATTCCCTAAAAATCACAAAATCCCAGGAGCTCGTGAAATTTAATATAATGTTGTGTAATGAGGGTAGTGTAGTTGCACTTGCAGTTGCAGTTGTAGTTGTGGTGTGGTGTAATTAGTGTAGTGTATTGTAGTGTAGTGTTGTGTACTGTAGTTTGGTATAGTGTATATAGTGTAATCTAGTGTAGTGTAGTGTAAGGTAGTGCAGTTGTCGAAGGAAGTTTAGAAGTCAAACTTCCGACAATATGGACAGATGAAAAGCAGAGCAGGGCAGAGGCAGAGAGAAGAGAAAGATTAGAAGAGAGAAGAGTAGAACAGGAAGAGTCAGAAGAAAGAAGATGCAGATGCGCCAAAAGGTAGGAAAGTCGCGAAACACTGTGTTTTTCCAATGATTTGAGGCTCCGGAGGGTCGAAAAGTAGGCTCGCTAAAGCAGCGGGTGCGGAGCCAGCTGGCCAGATGAGAGATGAAAAATTGCACGCCGTTGTGGCGCGAAGTATATTTCGAAGTCAAAATGTACAAAACACCTCAGTGTCGGACCGCTTTTGGAAGTTGCGATGTCGAAAAAGTGCACGCCGTTGTGGCGCGAAGCACATTGCCAAGTCAAAATGTACAAAACACACCATGCTTGGACCACTTTTGGAAGTTGAGATGTTGAAAAAGTGCACGCCGTTGTGGTGCGAAGCACATTTCCAAGTCAAAATGTACAATTCACACCATGCTCGGACCACTTTTGGAAGTTCCGATGTCGAAAAAGTGCACGCCATTGTGACGCGAAGTACATTTCGAAGTCAACATGTACAAAACACTTCAGTGTTGGACCACTTTTGGAAGTTGCGATGTCGAAAAAGTGCATGCCATTGTGGCGCGAAGCACATTTCGAAGTCAAAATGTTAAAAAAAACCAGGGGTTCGGACCATTTTTTGGAGGTTCAGATGTCGCTTCGCTTCACTACACTACATTACACTACACTACACTCCACGACATGACGCTACATTACACTACACTACACTACACTCCACAACCCTACAACTACAACTACACTCCACTACACTCCACTACGCTCCACTACACTAAGTTACATTACACTACACTACATTACACTATACTACACTCCACTCCACTACACTACATTACACTACACTACACTACCTTCCACTACACTTCGCTACATTACACTACACTACACTCCACTACAACTACAACTACAATTACACAACTACACTCCACTACACTCCACTACACTAAATTACACTACACTACACTACATTACACTACACTAGGCTCCACTTCACCACACTACATTACACTACACTAAACTACCTTCCACTACACTTCACTACCTTACACTACACTACACTCCACTACATTACACTACACTACACTCCACTACAACTACAACTACGACTACACAACTACACTCCACTACACTAAATTACACTACACTACACTACATTACACTACACTACATTCTACTAAACTCCACTACACTACATTACACTACGCTACATTACACTGAATGACACTGCACCACAGATAGACAGGTAGACAGATAGACAGATAGACAGATAGATAGATAGACAGATAGACAGGTAGACAGCTAGACAGCTAGACAGATGAAAGAGAGAGAGAGAGAGATAGATAGATAGATAGATCGATCGATAGATAGATAGATAGATAGGTAATTAGGTAATTAGATGAAAGAGAGAGAGAGAGAGATAGATCGATAGATAGATAGATACATAGAAGATAAATAGGTAGGCAGGTAGATAGTCAGAGAAAGAGAGAGAAAGAGAGGAGACCTCAAGCACCTTTCGGTCCATCAGTGGATTCGCTCTGCCATCCATGATTCACAACAACCAACCTCTCCTATAGGTGTCCTATTTTTGAAACTTCCGCCACCGCCTTGTGCGGTACTACTGGTAGTTGTAGTGTAGTTTCGGGCAAGTGTAGAGTCGTGTAGTGCAATTTAGTGGTAGTTGCAATCGTAGTTGCAGTTGCAGTTGTAGTTGTAGTTGTAGTTGTAGTGTAATGTAATGTAATTAGCGTAGTGTAGTGTAGTGTAGTGTAATGTAATGTAATGTAATGCAATGTAGTTGTAGCTGTAGTCGCATTTGTATGTGTAGTTTTAACGTGCAGCAGTGTAATTACTCGAGCGTAGTGTAATGTGATGTAGTTGTAATTGTAGTTGTAGCTGTGGTGGTAGTAGTAGGAGTAGTAGTAGTAGTAGCAGGAGGAGGAGTAGTAGTAGTTGTAGTTGTAGTTGTAGTAATAGGAGGAGGAGGAGGAGTAGTAGTAGTAGTAGTTGTTGTTGTTGTAGTCGTAGTGTGCCCAGTGTAGTGTAATGTAGCATAGTTTGTTTGCATTTGTAGTTATAGTAGTAGTATCATGTAGTAGTAGTAGTAGTAGTAGTTGTTGTTGCAGTTGTCTATCGATCAATCAATCAATCAATCCTGCGAGACTTCCTCAATTTTTAAACTTGACAACATCAAAAACGACACAGTTCTGCGAGACTTCCTCAATTGTCAAAGTTGACAACATCAAAAACGAAGCAATTCTGCGAGACTTCCTTCAAAAATGGAAAGTTGAGTGCAGAGCTGACGGCCTCGTACCAATTCGTTTTGCGTTTTTTTCCACTCCACCTGTCTAAACTACTGCGCCTGCCACGAAAAAGTGATGCCAGGTCGTACGAAGTGCTGCACCTGTCACGCAAAATCATCTCAGCTCTGATGCCCCAAAATGCAACCCCTCAGGAAATCAGCGACCGGACCTCCTAACAGCTCTGATGAGCATGTCTCTTGTACTGCGCCTGCCACGCGAAATGCATCTTGCCAGATCCTCTGCATATGTCCCACGCCTGCCATCGTTTTTGAAATGCTACAAAACTCCACACGTTTTGCTCACTCTTGACAAGGTGCACAATCCCTTGCGCCTGCCACGCGAAACGACATCTGAACGTCCAAAAGCGCTCCGTACCCCTGAGTTTTTTGCACTTTTGACTTGGAAATGCACTTCGCGCCACAACGATGTGCACTTTTTCATCATCTCAACTTCCAAACGTGGTCCGAACCTGGTGTGTTTTTTACGTTTTGACTTGGAATTGTTCTTCGCGCCACAACCGCGTGCACTTTTTCGACATCGCAACTTCTAAAAGTGCTTCGAAGCTCTTCGCGCCACAACGGCGTGCAATTTTTCAACTCTCATCTGGCCAGCTGGCTCCGCACCCGCCGCTTTAGCGAGCCTACTTTTCGACTCTCCGGAGTGACAAATCATTGGAAAACACAGTTTCTCGCGACTTTCCTACCTTTTCACACCTGGATCTTCTTTCTTCTCACGCTTTCTCTTTTTGATCTTCTTTCTTCTTGTCTTCTCTTCTCTTCTCTGACTCTTCCCATCTCTGCTTTTCATCTGTCCATATTGTCGGAAGTTTGACTTCTAAACTTCCTTCGATAAGCCAAAACCCATTAAAACCCATTAAATCACCTATTGAAATCCATGAAACAACTTATTGAAAATCACCCAGCCTGTGCAGGTGACCTCTGCCGTGCTCCTGGCAGATGACTTGGACAGCTGCGACCGTGCGGCCTCGAAGCTACGACAGAAGTGGCCCCGGGCTGCGGTGGTGCCTTCGGCGGAAAAAACGGGGTGTTTTCCATGGGGTTTTCCACCGGGAAGCTATGGGATCTATGGGCTTTCACCTGATTTTTCTTAGGGATCGCCAGTCACCATAGTTTTTGTTGAGTCCTATTGGCGTTCCATGACTTTGATGATTTGGGGGTAGCCCTATGGCTTGGAAACCTCTGGGCTCCTGAAAATGGTAAAGATATCCCCAATCAAATAGAATAAATAATACTTTTCATACCGAACATATAGAACAATTATGATTAACCAATGGATTTAGAGGTATCCTATTTCCAGACATACCCATATGGAGGCTTAAGTCAGGGGGGTACCATAATATATATATATTATATATAATATACATATATATATATATATATTATATAATATACATATATATATACTATATAAATATTGCTGCTTAGGTTTACCTAGGTGACTGTTTGCGTCGCAGGCGCTTGGTCGGTGGTGGGGTTGGTTGGTGGTTGTCTGTTGGCCTCGTGCCGTTGGTCTCCTCACGCGTCTCTCGGTTTTTGTCTTTGTCCGCGTTGCTTGGTTTCGTCGTCCTTTTTTGTCTTTGCACTTTCGCCCCTGCGACTCTCTCTTCTGGGCTCTGGTTTGGGTTTGGTCTGGTCTCCCGCGTCTCTCGTTTTTGCGGGTTTGTTTTTGTTTAGGGAGTGGCCGCCGTTTTCGGCGTTTTGAGTTTGTGTTTCTGTTTTGAGGTTTTGGTCGATGATTTCCGGCACTGATTTGTGAAACTCACAGCAAGACCAGAGGAAACGCAAAACTGTGGGACATGTTTGTTATTCTCAGTGTACTTATTTCAGGAAGAAATGAATTTGAATTTTTCTTGTATTTTCGGCTTTAGCATCAGTGTCAAAATTTTGGCAGAATGGGCCGCTGTGCGATCCCTTGAGGGGACGCATGGGCGGGACTGGCCTGGAACATTTGGGACCGAAATTTAATGAATGTGTGTGCAAGGTCTACAGGGAGCTTCGTATTTTCTCCTTGTTTGCTGACCCCACTGCTTTGGTGTTGTTGTTTGCGCTTGCGTTGGTGAACAGATTCTATTCTATTCTATTCTATTCTCTTCTCTTAAAATTTATTGTATTATACTATATTATATTATGTTTTATTATATTATATTGTATTGTATTGCATTGGTTTGTATTGTATTGTATTGTGTTATTTTAAATCATATCATATCATATTCTATCCTATTCTATTCTACTCTATTCTGTTCTATTCTATTCTATTCTAATTCTATTCTATTCTATTCTTTTCTGTTCTATTCTATTCTATTCTGTTCTATTCTTTCCTATTCTATTTATTCTATTCTATTCTTTTCTGTTCTATTCTATCCTATTCTGCTCTGTTCTGTTCTGTTCTACTCTATTTTATTATATTATATTAAGTCATATTTTATTATATTATATACTGTATTCTTTTATATCATATCATTTTATGTTATATTCTAATTCTATTCTATTCTTTTCTATTCCATTATATTCTTTTCCTTCTAGTATATTCTTTTTATTTCACTGCATTATATTATGTTACATTATGTTAAATTAAATTATATTTTATATTCTACTATATATTAAATGAATTAAATTATATGATATTATATTGTATTTATTTTATTTTATTATATAATATACTATAATATCATGCAATATAATATATAATTTAATATAATATAATATAATATATAATATAATATATAATATATAATATAATATAATATAATCTAATGTAATGTAATATAATATAATATATATTATCTGTCTTTTTCCCCATGAAACAAGCCATCCAGCTATTGTGGCAACCCCCAATGTTTTGGAAACACCCATATGGAATGTCCTATGAAATCGTTGGGGTTTAGAAGACTTGGAGATTTATGTAGTTTGTTGATTTTGAACTGATCATGCTGTTTTTTTTGCAGTTGACTTTGACCACCTGGTTTTATGGAAGTTTGATGTGATTTCACATGATTTGCCATGGGAACACCCAAGACTTTGGGTATCACCAAAGTGACTATGGGTCAAGATTGAAGCCCTTGGACGCCACAGAAATGACTATATATTTTTTTGGTACCAGTTTGGCTCGAGTCCAACCACTGCATGGGTGATTACGAAGATATCATCAAAGACAATGGGAAGATATCCAACAGCGGTAGGATAGGAGCAGTTCGGGATCAGCATCATGATAATTTATGTCGGTTTTGATTTTGATTGTTCCATGCTGGGTCTACTACTGTCATTTCGATGGTTTTCATTTCTCAGCGAAACCACCTTTACTAATGACATTTTCTACATCTTCAGCTCTGTGGCTTGCTGCACAGGGAGGGAATGATCCGATCCATTTTGATTCATCATTCCAATCCCATCCATTCCCATCCATTCCCAAGCACCAATAAGGTGGTAGAGGTTTTCCCCTCCATCCCCAAGGGATGTCTCAGGTAGGCGCAGTGGGTGCACGCTGGCTAATGAAGGATCGACCCGTACCGTCTCTGGCAGCATTGGGAGCAGAGGGTGGCTTCCCTTCAGGGCCTTGCGGCAACTCGGTGCTGTTTCACGCGGAAATTCGTGGAGGAAACGTGGATTGGTTGAAAGGAAAAAATATGTAGGAACCGCACACACATATGTATATATATATGTATATATGTATATATGTATATATGTATATATGTATATATGTAAATATGTATATATGTATATATGTATATATGTATATATGTATATATATATATATATTACATCTTTAGTTTAGCCATTTTTTTTTTAAACCATGGTTTGATTAGTTTCATCTATATATTACCTTGAACCCAGAGAGGGTATGTTTGTTGAATGAAATGGCTGTGGCTTGAGACTGAGTTGCGAAAAAAATTAGTCCTGTGAGTCAAAGTGATAAAGTCACTCGACACAAGCTACTTAGCCATTCTATAGAATATATCTACTGTATGTATACATATACATATACATATATATATATATATGCACGGACTAGCGGAATCGAAGGATTTTTAGAAGTCAAACTTCTGACAATATGGACAGATGAAAAGCAGAGATGGGAAGAGTCAGAGAAGAGAAGCGAAGAAGAAAGAAGATCACAAGAGAGAAAGTCTCAGAAGAAAGAAGATCCAGGTGCACAAAAAGGTAGGAAAGTCGCAAAACCCTTTCTTTTTCCAATGATTTGTGGCTCCGGAGGGTCGAAAAGTAGGCTCGCTAAAGCGGCGGGTGCGGAGCCAGCTGGCCAGATGAGATGAAAAATTGCACGCCGTTGTGGCGCGAAGCACATTTGCAAGTGAAAAGGCTAAAAACACCTCACGTTCCGAGCACTTTTTGAAGTTGAGATGTCGAAAAAGTGCACGGCGTTGGCGCGAAGCACATTTCGAAGTCAAAATGCACAAAACACACCAGGTCCGGACCACGTTGGGAAGTTGAGATCATGAAAAAGTGCACGCCGTTGTGTTGCGAAGCGCATTTCGAAGTCAACATGTACAAAGCACACCATGTTCGGACCACTTTTTGGAAGTCGAGCTGTCGAAAAAGTGAACGCCGTTGTGGCGCGAAGCACATTTCGAAGTCAAAATGTACAAAGCACACCAGGTCGGGACCACTTTTGGAAGTTGAGATGATGAAAAAATGCACGCCGTTTTGGTGTGAAGCACATTTCGAAGTCAAAATGTTAAAAGCACGCGGGGTTCGGGCCACTTTTGGAGGTTCAGATGTCGTTTCGCGTGGCAGGCGCCAAGGGATTGTGCACCTTGTCAAGAGTAAAACGTGAGGGGTTTTGTAGTATTTTTAACTACAACCACCACTACACCACACTACACTCCAATACACTCCACTACACTACACTCAATTACATTCAGTGACACTCAATTACACTACACTACGCTACGCTACGCTACACTACATTCCACTACACTACATTACGCTACACTACACTCCACTACACTACATTACACTACACTACGCTGCATTCCACTACACTACACCACATTACACTACACTACACTCCACTACACTACACTACATTACACTTGGTCCTAAAGGTTCCCTTTGGTGACTGTTCGGTTGGGACTGCCGGGGGGGAGGGTTGTGTTGCTTGGGCTGTTGCCTTTGCTTGGCCCCCTGGGGCTTCCAGGGTGCACTTTCCTCCCGGGCTGTCTGGTTGTTGGGCGTGCATTTTTTCATCATCTCAACTTCCAAAAGTGGTCCCGACCTGGTGTGCTTTGTACATTTTGACTTCGAAATGTGCTTCGCGCCACAACGGCGTTCACTTTTTCGACAGCTCGACTTCCAAAAAGTGGTCCGAACATGGTGTGCTTTGTACATGTTGACTTCGAAATGCGCTTCGCAACACAACGGCGTGCACTTTTTCATGATCTCAACTTCCCAACGTGGTCCGGACCTGGTGTGTTTTGTGCATTTTGACTTCGAAATGTGCTTCGCGCCAACGCCGTGCACTTTTTCGACATCTCAACTTCAAAAGTGGTCCGACGTGGTGTGTTTTGTACATTTTGACTTCGAAATGTGCTTCGCGCCACAACGGCGTGCAATTTTTCATCTCTCATCTGGCCAGCTGGCTCCGCACCCGCCGCTTTAGCGAGCCTACTTTTCGACCCTCCGGAGCCACAAATCATTGGAAAAACACAGTGTTTCGCGACTTTCCTACCTTTTCTCGCATCTGCATCTTCTTTCTTCTTACTCTTTCTCTTCTACTCTTCTTTCTTCTAATCTTCTTTCTTCTAATCTTTCTCTTCTCTCTGCCTCTTCCCTGCTCTGCTTTTCATCTGTCCATATTGTCGGAAGTTTGACTTCTAAACTTCCTTCGGCAATATACATGAAACAAAGAACCCTTGTCAACAACGGGCTATCTTAATTGGCTTGATCCCCATGACTATCGGCAGCCGCCCCAGGAACTGTTCGTTTGGGGAACGGAGCCGTTGCTCTGCTTTTGCATGGACCACGCCTGAAGGCCGGGATGTATCAACTTCCCCCATTTTTGATGATTGATCCCTTCCCCCTAATATTTGACACCCCCAAAAACTATGGTTCAGTAGGGGATTGACACACATATCTGGGACCATTCAGGGGATAGTGAATATGAACGGGGGATGGGATTAAAATGGCAGAAACCTCATATTTCCGAAGGTAATCTGGCACATCCATCAATGACTTTGTCATGGCACATCTCCACGCAATTGAAAACTCAATCGCAATATGTTTGGTCAAAAAAACAGGTCAAAAAATTGTCAATTCCCCAGTTTGGATGGTTCAATCATGGTGAAATCCTCCCATGATCGCAGAATTTTCCCAGATGGAACTCCTTGGGCGTTCCAGGTCCTCCGCTGCGACGGCATGCGCGCCGTGCCCCCGGCGCTGCCGGTGACGCGGCTGGCGGATGGCGCGGATGGCGCGGATGGCGACGCCACGGTGGAACGCCTCGCTGGGGCGCCGGCGTGGTCCAAGTTGATGGAGGTGGGATATGGTGGGATGGCAGTGGCCAAATCAATAGATATCAATAGTATTACCTTCCGGTAAACATACAAAAAACTATAGAAAATGGCAATAGAAATAGTTGATTTACCCAGCTATAAAATGGGTGGGTTTTCCATAGTTATGTTGGTTTACCAGAGGGTAGTGGTATTAATATGTATGACTTAGATGGGCTTGTGGAGTTAGTCAGCTAGTTGGTAAATTGGATTATGAAAAATTGGGACTTTTGGTGGTTTATAACCCAGTTATGAACCAGGAATCGCTATGGCCCATCTCAGTATAATCATATAGATTCAGAGAGTAGATTTCCCTTGAACCAATCCATTGATACAAACTGGCCAGCATTATTTGATAGTAAAGAGATACAACAAGGTTTTTGATGACAGAGACATTACATGGGAACTTGGCCAACGTCATCACTTTGTGTATTCGATATGGAGATACACCTACATCGATATTGTAATCGTTGTCTCCATGTTTAAAATGCTCCCAGTAGTCGACGAAAGGACAATCTACAGGAACCCCCGTATTTGCAGATAAAGATAGATAACGACCACGGTTTTTGGTGGAATTTAGGTGCCATCTGCAGGTCTTCAAAGAAGCACCGCTGGAAGATCAACTGGAACTGCGTTCACATCGAGCTGTGGTCACTGGTCATTTCACCGTCGGTCGCTGGGACATCTGGGAACGAAATGGGCATTCAACGAATGGGAAAATCATCCATAAATCCACTATAAATAGCTATAAATGGAGGTTTCAAATGAGAAAACCATCTATAAATGGTGGATTTTCCTTTGCCATGTTTGGTTCCCGGACAGTAAGCTTAAATCCATTTTCTGAGTGGAAAAATCATCTACAAATCGCGATAAAAGGGGGATAGCTACGAAAATGTCTATTGCTTGTTGAAATTGCCAGATGGTGATGTGATCTACTTCAAGGATCGATGTGGCAATGGTCCCAGCAGATTTTGTAATTTGATCCCACTGAAAGATCAGTGCGAAAAAAGTGGGAAAAGTTACCCTCTGGTGAACTAACATAGCTATTGAAAATGGCCATTTATAGTGGATTTTCCCATTAATAGCATGGTGATTTTCCATAGTTATGTAAACGTTTACCAGAGGGTAGGATTTGCAGAACTCCATAAAAAACATTGAACAATTGAACATTCAAACAGAAAAGCCGAGGTCCGCGTGAGAACTCCCGACGGTACCCAGTCGCGTGTCCGCATGCTGCGACGGCTGCCGAACAGCGAAGTGGTGTGCATCCCTGGAGCCGGGGTGTGCCTGGGGTCAACTGTGCAGCTTTTGGTCAGATGCTTGGCTGGTCAGCTGGAGATCCTCCCAGATAGTTGAAACTTGAGAAATGAGAAAAAATGAGGAACTGTCAATGCAGAAACCCCTCAAAAGGATTCACATGATCATGCAGACAGGGTTCTCCACCAGCCTTTTTTCCCACAATTGCTTCAAAGGAAAACCATGTATTTTATGGCCAACATTCAGGTTTTCCTGACATTTTCTTCCTTTCGAGGCATTGAGAATCACGTCGCATCTAAGGGCATCGAGGAGTGGCTGAAGAGAATCTGATGCTTGGCCCAGGGCGTTGAGGAAATGAAACACCTCACCTGGTTTTCCCATTTGTTTTGGCAGATCACCTATTCCGTGATTCAAAAGCAGCACTTTTGAGATGTGAACAGCAGGGTTTTAATAGGAACTTTTGTCCTACCAGATGACTTCCAGCTTATAGAGATGATTCGAGATCCATTGATTTTCTAAAGATGGGAATCATTTTTTGATGATGAGCATTTGTTTTGGAAGATCCATTGATGTTTTTTGATCCTTTGTTTGATGATGGGGATGTTCCATCCAGTGATGATTATTGAAGGGGCTTGTATGCCTATCGTCCTGGCTTGTATGCCTAGAACCAAGGTTATTCCTCTGGTAATTTAACATAACTATTGAACATGACCATTTATAGTGGATTTTCCCATTGAAAACGGTGATTTTCCATAGTTATGTTAGTTTACCAGAGGGTATTCCTCAATCCATTTTGTTGGGATTTGTTGGGAATTGCCACCTGGATCCCAAGAATGGTAACCATGGTTTCTAGCCACACTCGCAGTTTTTTTGCCCGTCAAAGATAACTGATTCTAATTGACTTTCCAGGTCTAACTATAGCATAGTATACGATATTGTAGCCATAAGTTATATAAATGTGATTAAATTATGTTTCAAGATTCCATGATGTATATCAAAAGATCAAGATTCTTATTAGATGTGATTCAATCATATATCAAATGGTTTTAATATGAATTTATTAGCATCCCATCCTTAAATATGCAAAATCTGGTAGCCTCGGTCCCAGGAGGCTCCTCCCCGAGCGCATTGCCTTGGAACGTGCCATGTCGCCATCGCCCTGGCTGGGATGCCTCGTCTTCGCCGATCGGGCGCGAGGCGAACGTAGATTTTTCAGATAGTTCTTTTAGTTCGAGACTTTTTGGAATCTGGTATAACTATGACTACTGCACCCTCTGGTAATTTAACATAGCTGTTGAACATGACCATTTATAGTTGATTTACCCATTAAACATGGTGATTTTCTATAGCTATGTTAGTTTACCAGAGGGTATAATGGTATAACTTTCATAAGTTGGTAGGTTTGCTGATGAGTTTCACCTGACCGCAGGTCAGCACTTCACTGCTGGCCGCGACGCCGCGGCGGCGGCCGCCGCCCTGCCGCAGGACCTTTCCGCGGTCGCTGGCGGCTTCTGCCGTGGGCAGCTGGGTATGTCGCCGGGGGCGCCAGCGGCGGTGGAGCGACTCAGTGCGGTCTTTGGCTTTCTGACGGATGGAGAGGATGAGGATGGAGAAGATGAGGATGGAGAGCCCTGAGATTTCTGGATGGATCGGGTGAGGATGGAGAAATTCCGCGGTGTGACGGTGTGACTTCGAGGTGAAAGCTTTGGTTGTTTATTCTTTGCAGCTCCAAATGTTTCAAGTGCGAACCTCCTGGACTTGGAGACCCTGGGGAAGATGACTGAAGTTGGACCACATTAGCCAGTGGCAAAGTATGCAAGGAGGATCGCGTGGTTGAGGATGTGGTGTAATTTGACAGAATGGATGCCACATCTGAAGGATTTGAAAGGCTGAAAGTGCCTCAGATGTTGTAGAAAGGTGCAAAAGAATGCAAAAGAACAGTGTCCAGTGTTCCGTGCATTGCTGCGCATTGCTGCGCATCGCTGCGCATCGTGCATGTTGTGGGTTTCAAACAGGCTCTTTTGCCAAAGTAACGCAAATGAATGCAAATGACACAATGACAGAACTGGTTCTTGGTTTGACCATGAACAGGGTGACTTTTGGCACTTTGAGACCTTGTAGAAGACAGTCATCCTCCGATCATCAATGGCGCGTGTTCATGGCGAGCTCAAGGAGAAGCGTTGCCAACCTTATTCATAATGTCACCACTCACTTTGGATGTCATGCATAACTTGGACTTAACAGCCCTGGCAAATCTGTTTTGCCGGTATAAATGAATTAAATAGTCAGTTATAAACATCGGGTTAGCTTTCTACCCCAATCACTGCTGGGCCTATCCTTTCAGTCCAATGGAACCATAGCTGGATAGTGGATATTTATAAAAGCTGATAATATTCACTATCTACATTTACTGTTGTTGAGCTTAACTAGCTTATTTACTGTTGTAATCTCCGCATTTAGTGGATTGTAGTTGTTGCTTATTTTCTGGTAAACATTTACATAAATGTGGTTTCAACCTCCATGAAGATGAACAGTTTTCCACATCTTCTGGGAGTTTTTATACACCCGAGTGCCATTTCCATCAATTATCTCAATTATCATTCAAAAACATCACTTACCATCATCAAAAACCCATATGATTCTCAAGATTGACGAATAGTCTGAATGGTGATTTTCTCATTCTCAAAATCTTGATTTGCCATATGATGTCCCACATTTCCCATGATTCCAATGGTTTTATTTCCCATGACGGCCCTGATGAAATCTCCAGGTCAGGGCAAAGGCGTGCCCAGCTCGAGGTGGTGGACCGATTCTCCAGAGGCGTAGCTGGAGGATTTTCTGGTCGAATGGTACCCTCTGGTAATTTAACATTTCTGATGGGGAAAATATGAGGAAAATATATGGGGAACATGATGAGAACTGAATTCGTATAAATTATGATAAATTACCCTCTGGTAAAATAAGAGTTTGCTATGGGAAATCCACCCATTTTACAGCAGGTTAAATCCACTATTGGACTATGGCCATTTTCAATAGCAAACTGTAACAGTTTACCAGAGGGTACCCATCCCCAGTGATGAAGGTTGGCGAAAAAGCATCGGTCGCCAGGCATGTCCCATTTGTGGATTTCCCATCCGGCTACTACCGTATCCTCCCTTCAAGCTGCAGGCATCTGGGAGGGTTTGGGGGTTCAAGAGGGCGAATTTCCAGAGGACTTACCCTTGCATGGCTGAGATGATAGCTATGGCAGCTATGGAAAGCAAGTTCTGCACACCCTCTGGTAAACTAACATAACTATGGCAAATCACAATTTTTAATGGGAAAATCAACTATAAATGGCCATTTTCAATAGCTATGTTAAATTACCAGGGGGTACCTGGAGCGTCTTGAAATGAACGGGGATGTCTGGGCTTGTGTCACTGCATGGTTCAGCTGTTCTGGCTCGAAAATTTCGGGTCAGGGAGTTGATCGCAGTTTCTTTTTTTCGTATCTTCCAGCCACACTGGCTTCACATGTGATTTGGGCAGGAAGTTCAAGTGCCTTAGGCTGAAATCTCCTTGCTTGGACGTGTTTCCCAGTTTTAAAATCACCACAAGGTTGGTGAGTTTAGCACGAATCACACCAAAATCATGACAGATCATACTTTGCTATACTTAGTACTTCATTGGTAAATAGTCATGGTGAGTTTACTCACATTTTAATATTTGTACTGGAATACTTTTATATATCCTAATTGGACCCGAAACGAAACATGGGTTAGATATGAATTATAGCTATTAAAAAATGGTCAAACATTTCCCCAAGAGTGGTTTTTCAAAAGGCCCCAATAGTGGGAAGGATACCCTCTGGTAATTTAACATAACAATGGAAAATCATCATTTTTAATGGGAAAATCCACTATAAATTGTCATTTTCAATAGCTATGTCAGCCATTACCAGATGGTATTTCTGGGAGATTTCAGTCCCAATGATCGATGCCGAAGTCTATCCTGGTGGCTCTGAGCCTTGGTGCTGCGTCGCTCTTGGTGCTTCTGGTTTCTCGGCCCAGACTGGGGAGGAATACGTATGTATATATATATATACACACACACCTATATCTTGACCTATATCTACATTATGATAGTTATAATATATATATATAAATTACTATATATATATATAGGTATCATACAGATACTATAGATGTACATAAACAAGAGTTGATCCGTGTTTGTTTTCTTGGGGCACCCTGATTTTGGACAGACGGATTCAGCCATTTCTTCCTGGAGACCATGGAAGTGTGAGTCTTTTCCCGTCTGAGCAGGATGTATCCGAAACCCTTTTTTCATCACAAGAGGATTGCAAATTAACGAAAAACCATCCAATCCTCATATTCTATCATATTCTCATTAAAATGGAATGGCATACACCCATTAAAATATTTCTATCATCATATTCTACCATTAAAATGGCTGGAGTCTGGGGCTTGAATCACCCAGACTCCAGATTTTCAGACTCCAAATTCCGCAGATCCCAGGAGCGCCGACGACGCTGCGCAGAAGGACGACTGGAGAAACTTCTGGAGGAACATGTGGGAGAAGAGGTGCTCCGATGGTGCTGTTTTTGATTTTTCCATTGGTGATAGCTGTTATATCAAGTTATATCCATTTTTGTTTTTGAATGGAGATGTTTTTCCGCTTCTTTTGGCACTTTTTATGGGAAATGGGCTGGTTTTACCATCAGAGATGGAGATCAAAGTGATTTTGCAGATTTAGACCATCGGGATTTGATATATTTTTGATTCGCAAAGCTGATAATCAAAAGCTGGTGAACTTCGATGGGCATGGGCGCCACTGAATCCACGGTGCAGACTCTTCGCGACCAACAGTACTTTATCCGTCAGGAGAACTTATCTCACGAAAGGTAGGGATCTGGCAACCAAAAGGGACATCATTCATTGTCCTTCTACTAATCTGAATACCACTAGAGATAAATGTAATCTTACTAAGACTAGTAACAGTAGTAATAAGAGCAACAATAATAGTTAGTAATGATGATAATAAGAGTAATATGTAGTAATGATAATGGTAATGATAGTAGAGACAGTAGCAGCAATCATGGGGCCTTGGGAATGTGTTTAGATTGTGAACAGAGAGCACAGTTGATGGAGTGACTTTTTTGGTGAGAAGGCTGAGTGGGCAGCCTATTCTTTCAAGGTTACACACTGCAAACCTATCTCACCTTCAACAGAAAACATAAAACACTGGCATGAAAAAGTCACTTGGAACCTGGTTTGGAAGATGATTTTCCATAATTTTTCCTGTTTCACACGGCCATTTTTGCTGCGCCGTTGACAAACCTTATTGTAGTTTCACTCTTGAACTGTTCCTTGGCGCAAGTTTCACCGAGGGGCGAGTGGTCATCACTGGTGCAGATCGAGGCATTGGCAAGGACACACAAACCGAGGCGTTACCCTCTAAAAGATAGAACCACAATTTCTCTGGTTACCTTTGGGGATATACGACGAATTTTGGGCTGGCAATTGTAAGCACAGAAAATCGGTTGGATTTCACTGATTTCACTTTGCTGCATCTTTTCGGGGGTTGGTACGGGTTGGTACGGGTTGGTATATCCTCGAGTAAACCAATGGAGTGCTGAGCTGTTTGGGGAATAATATGAACAGATACCATTTGGCAACGAAACGTGGCCTGGGGAAATCTCCAACGGAAGTTGAATGGGAAAAAAACATCGAAGTAAATGAGGGATTTTCCCGGAAGCCATACTTGAGTACCAGAGAGTAAATCATCTGCACATGGGGCGGTAGATTTCCCACTAGATGCAACCTACGGATTCATTCGAAGATCTCCAAACTGCAGACGCCAAACTTCCACGGTAGCTCTCTGATTTCTGGTAGCATTTTTATCGGTGATCCATTCTTGATACCCTTTGGTAAACTAAGATAGCTAGTGCAGATTAAAATGAATGACCATTTATAGTTGATTTTACCTATTAAAAAGATTATTTTCATTGATTTTCCATAGTTATGTTAGTTTACCAGAGGGGACTTCGTCATTGATCTACAGGAGCTGGGCCGCTTACTGCTGCGACACCCGCGGGTGTCGTTGCTCTTGGGCTGTCTGGACCCGAGCGCTGCCGCGGCCGGAGACGACAACGAAAAACGCTGTCGCGCCTTGGAGAATGGGCTGTGGTGTGTTGTTGGCCAATATAAAAAACACCCAAGATTTCTGCGGAATATCAGGATTGCCATTGAAATATATTGAAATGGGAATAGAAACGACCATCATGGAGATTTCTCGTGGGTTCAGAAGGATTCTCATCGAAACCTTGAGTTGGTCATGGCTTTGTTTTCGCCATACACTGGGTCAATTGAGGGAGAATCATCATTTTTCCCAGAAACAAAATGCAATATAAGTTTAAGCGAAACTTTCTGGTTGGCCTTGCCATATTTTGATCTACCCTCTGGTAAACGCTTACATAACTATTGAATATCCACCCATTTTATAGTTGGGTAAATCCACTATTTAACTATGGCCATGGCTTCAAGTTCGCAAACTGCAACAGTTTACCAGAGGGTAAACCTCCATTTTCCTATGGTTTTCCTATGATTTTTCCATTTTCCTATGGTTTTCCTATGGTTTTATGGGGACATGGACCTCCATGGTTTCCATTGGGCCCACAGGGATTTCGCCACTGGAGCTGCTGGACTTCGATTCAGTGCAACGCTTCGCAGAGCCTTGGATGAGTCCAAGGGGAGCCCCAAAACACCAAGGGGTGCCTCAGAAAAAGCATCATAAAACCATAGGAAAACCATAGGAAAATGGAGGTTTACCCTCAGAAAAACCAAGGATTTGCTGATGATTTTCTCCGGAAATCCACTAAGGCTGGGATTTGATTGCGGGAATCCACAGAAAAAACATATTTGGTGTTTCCCTTACCCTCTGGTCAACTCAGAGTTTGCGAACTGGAAATCCAGCCATTTTTGAGAGGTAGAAATTTTCTAGACATGGTCCATTTTCCGCTATGTGAAATTACCAGAGGGTAATTCATTGGTAAGAAATTCTGCACAAGGTGGTGCCCCGTAGCTCAGTTGGAGTTTACATAACTCCAATTTCACTAGGCTAAAAATGATACATCTATAGTTCATGGATGTTCATGGGCTTATCAAGTCATAACCGGGTCACCACCTCACAGGCCTGATAGGTTGACGTGGGGGATTTGGGAGGTTGAAATCCGAGAAGCCAATTGTTCCTCCACATGATGTGGAGATATTGAATGATACTTATTATGAATACAATCATCATCCCATCCCATGAATATATCTATGAACATGAATCAATATTTATAGAGATTTCTGTCTTCAAGATCTCAAGATCCCATCCCATAAAATCTCTTCGAAAGGCCCAAGAATATGACAAAAATCCAATGAAAAAACCTAGATTTTTTCATCCCATCGCTTGGTTTTCCACCCTTTATATAGGAAGATGTACACGACTTCCTGAGCGACGGAGAACCCGGACTTCGGATGTTGGTCAACAACGCTGGCTTCAAGGTGGGAAAACACCGGTGGATGATGGTGAATCGTTGATTGGTTACCCTCTGGTAATTTGTCAAAATAGCTATTGAAAATGACCATAGAAATAGTGAGTTTTCCCATTAAAAATGATGATTTTCCATAGTTATGTTAGTTTACCAGAGGATATGAAATAAGGATACTACAATTTTTTGAGGCCCCCGGCCAGGATAGCGTTCAGTTGGTGAACATAAAACTCCAGTAACTATGGTTTATGGTATGCAAATAACGAACTAGTTACTGGGGCGAATCTAAACCAACGTTCACATCACTGGGGGGCCTCACATTGTACCTGGATGATTGGGCATTATTATAAGCCAAATTCGGGAAACCTATCAACTAGAATGAGAGATGGGATAGGGGTTTTGTTTTAATGACTCATTTGGAAACGGTTCATTTGAGCAGTGGCTGCTCAACCCCGGTTGGTTGATGATGATATGAGGTTGTACTATCGAGTTTTTTCAATGGCCATTCCAGGATCCTAAATTGGAGGTACCTACCATATATAAGGCCTATATAAGGCCTATGTAAGTGAATATCCCCACAAAATATGGCCTTATATGGTACAGTACCTCCATTTTAGGATCCTGGAATTCCCAATGATTTTTCTTGGGATTATCACTATTCATGAACTGGACATCCCTACTTACCAGCATAGTGAAACGACGGCTTTGAGCTCAGCTCACTTGGGGGCTTCAACCACCATGAAAAAATGAGTTGTATATTTTGATTGACCACCATTGAAATGGGAATTCAACCACCGCAAGTGAATTAAAATGGATGCTTTTTGATGCGCACATACGTTGTTTTTGGGTCAATCATTTCGATGTTTTTTTCCCTGCTCAATGCACAACTAAAGGATGGTTTAAGATTGGCAGAGACCAATGATTTTTGGATCACTATCCCATTTTTGATGCATACCCCAGATGACACGTCTCATTGGCTGATGTTTCAAATCCCTTTAAGTCCTTAAGTCCTTGTTTATGAGGGTCCCTCGTCTTCCTTTTGTTTGATTGGTCATAGTCATAGTCGCCATCCCAAGTTTCCTTGGCGTATTGTTTGGACCACCGGTCTGTTGAAATCTGTTGAAATACACGTTTTTTTTTTGCTGGTTCACATTCATGTGTTTGTTTTTCTTGTCGGCTATTGGCATCTTGGGCAAAAAAACTCCCATCAGGAAATCCCATTTGGTTTCAAAATGTTTCAAAGCATTTTGAGAATCAATTCCCATTCAAACCTGATGATAGTTGGGGCCATATCCAGGAACGCGTCGAAGGTGACCGCACCAAGTACGGTTGCTGGGAACAGATGTTTTTTTTTTTTTGTGGGATTCAATTCAGTGACAATCTGGGTGGGGAATATGGGACTATTCCAATAAATTGGCAGAATGTCGTACAAATGATGATTTTACCAAGAAACATGGCGCTTTAAGCAATACTATATAGAGATTGTGAGCCCCTGACAATTCAACATGGCAAAGAAAACTCCCAACTTGTAGCGGGCAAAACATGGGTTAATCATCGCACTATATAGGTGATTTTTCATTGCCATGTTGGAATACTGGAGGATGACACTGAATCTAATCCTCTCTAGTCTGGCAATGGCAACCGCCCTATTTACATCTTTGTAGATGTTTTTCCTTAAAAAAAGCTTGGGTTTTCCGATTGCCAGCACTAACCGTCCAAGCCTCACGGCCCAATCATTCGAATGCTTGGGGGACCAAGAGCCGTTACGCCAGGGTTTGAAAATCACGAAATCAACCAATTCAAGGCCGAGTGCCTCTTTGTTGTTGCACTTCCATCTTTGAAAATGTCTGTTGGGTTTAAGCCGAAAGCCCCTTTTGGAAGTGTCCCACCTTTTTCAGTTCCCCAACTTGGCCTGGCCTTTTTGGCCTCGCGATGCAGCGATGCAGCGATGCACTCCACGTCGCTGAGGCACTGGCAAGACGTGGCAGATCAACTTTTTAGGTCCCTTCCTGCTGACCGAATTCCTGGCGCGCCGCCGCGAGCGGGACCTGATGGGACCTGATCTGCGGGACGTTTTTTTTTGGGACAGCCTAAGATGGCGAATGGGACAACCCCATAGCCCCAGGGGGTTCCCAACATAGTGTTATGTTCCTCTGGAAATCGTGGCTCCAATTATTATATAGTAACCTAGGGGTTTATTAACCCTGGATTGATATTACAACACGGGTGAGGGTTTAGATATGTTTGGATGAGGCAAAGCGATAAAGCTTTAATACTGGTTAAACGGTGAATGGTGAACTCAATCAGTTTTTAGATGTTTACAAAACCCCAGATTGTTGACCATTATGTTCCCATTATATTAAACATAAAACAATCATTTGTAGCCATCATATTCCCATCATACACATACACACATACACACATACACACATACACACATACACACATACACACACAGAGACAGATACACAGACAGACAGACAGACAGACAGACAGAGACAGACAGACAGACTGACTGACTGACAGACAGACGGACAGACTGACAGACTGACAGACAGACAGAGAGACAGACTGACAGACTGACAGACAGACAGACAGACAGACAGACAGACATACAGACATACAGACATACACATACAGACATACACATACATCCCTACATCCCTACATCCCTACATCCCTACATCCCTACATCCCTACATCCCTACATCCCTACATCCCTACATCCCTACATCCCTACATACACATACATACACATACATACACACACATGCATACATGCATACATGCATGCATGCATACATCCATACATCCATACATCCATACATCCGTACATCCCTACCTACCTACCTACCTACCTACCACCTACCTACACCATACATACCATTACATTACATACCATTACATTACATACCATTACATTACATACCATTACATACCATTACACTACATACCAAACCATTACATTACATTACATTACATCACATCACATTACATTACAGTAAATACATATATATATATACAAATATACATATATATATATATACAAATATACATATATATATATACATATATATATGTATGTATATCCATATTATATACATATACAAATGTACTAACCGTTATATTCTCATCACTATTTCAGGGTATCGCGCAGGACGGGGTGGAAATTCCCTGCAGCGTCATCAACGTGGCCAGCGGCCACGAATCTGAGTCCAACTTGGACAAACAGCTGCTGGATTCCTTGGAAGGCGACATTGGTGATGGACAGCACGGATTGGGGACCTTTCGAAGTAGGATATTCAAAAAATATACCATACTGGTTGGTGGTTTGGAACATTTTTTATTTTTCCCAATAGTTGGGATGATGATCCAATCTGACTAATATTTTTCAGATAGGTTGAAACCACCAACCAGCATAGTATATTATATACATATACACATGCAGGTTACACACATATATTTATATATATTTATATGTAATAAGATATGACGCAGCTCGTATCCATATACCCTCTGGTGAACTAACATAGCAATTGAAAATGGCCATTGAAATAGTGGATTTTCCCATTAAAAATGGTGATTTTCCATAGTTATGTAAGCGTTTACCAGAGGGTAAACCTCCATTTTCCTATGGTTTTCCTATAGTTTTCCTATGATCCACTCATCTTGAGTTCGGCATTTCGTGGGTTGCCTCGGTCCTGCCACAGCCTGCCACCAGTTGGATGCGAATCCACGGGGCACGACTATCCAGACTCCAAGATACTTGGCGTTGAATCATGAACGGATTGGGTGGATCTAATCATATACATAGATATTATTATATATATATATATTATATTTTAGAACCAGCGGTTGTGTATCATTTTGGTGGATCCTGACGTATAAAATTGTGGGTTCTGAACCTGTTACTTAAATCTTAGAACCTATTATAGTAAAATTTGGTTATCTCAGAATCTATTGCCAATATGTTAACATTTAGGTGGTTTGAAGGTGATGCAAAAGCCTAGAAACGGTTCGGAACGGTTTGGAACGGTTTCCAGGGCAGTTGTGTACTTCCGGAAACGGTCGGGACGGTTTCTGAGATGATTTCTTTCTATGTGCAGAAACGGTTCGGAACGGTTTGGAACGGTTTCAGACTTTGATTTCTATTGCCTATAGCGGGTTCTAAAAAAAACCTTTCAGGTTCTGAACATTACCATTCAGGTTCTGAACATGGACCATTCAGGTTCTGAGGCCACAGGATGATACACCACCCCTGGTTCTAAATTATATTATTCATACATATTATATTATATACTACATATTATATTCATACATATTATATTATATTGGCTGTATATTTTCCCCATCTTTATATTATATTGGCTGGATTTGGATGGTGGATTTTTGTGGATCCAATTTAAGTGGGTCGTGCCTTTTGATTGCCCAAGAAACTTGTTGGTATCGACCATGGGACCATTTAAGGCAACCCATAAGTTCACAACTTCATAGTATTTTTCAGCCAGAATCCTTCCATATGTACTCCGTGAAATTTGGAATTTATCCCACATTCGCAGTGTGGAAACAGTCACCTCAACTTGGGCCCATTCCGCAGGTCAAGTCCTCCTCACTGGGTTGACAAGCGGTGAAGCTCATCAGGTTAACCATGATACGAAAACTGCTTGTCCCTATCATTCATAAATCCCAGAAGCCCAATTTTCAGTTGCTTCAACATGATTCAAACATGTTTATTGTGGCAATATGTTTCTTGATTAGCCATGGTCAACCCACATTGGCCCCGCAAACTTCAACAATACCTAATTTTTATACTATTTTTTTGGGGATGAAGATCCATAAATTTGAGATATTTTCTTAGGGCTACAAGGTTTTGATCCATTTTCCTTATGGGTTACAAGGTGTCTAACCCCATCCCGAGGAGGGCCTTGTTGCTTTGGACTTCGGTGCGCTCCCAAAGTCTTGCCCTGAAGGGTGACTTCGACTGGGAGGAAAGCCAAGCGTTTTCTGGGGGTACTGGGATGATATACTGAGATGTTAATACCGTCATTGATCATTGATATATGGGTTTATAATATGATCATTGCTATTATATCATATATTGATAATGTTGTTTTCTAGAATGGGATATTGTTGATGTAATGTGGGTAAAACAATGTCATAAACCACCATTTTTTTTGATGGTTTATACCACCTATTTATGGTGACACTGGGGATGATTTATGACATTGTTTTACCAACATTGATGGGTGATTTGATGATCATGTAACCATCTATCAATGGCAGTCAGTGGTGATTTCATCAACAAGAGTGGCGAATTACCGCAATCTATGGTAAAATTTAATGGGAAAATCATCTGTACATGCTACAAATGGTGAGTGAATCAACGAACATGTGGTACAAAACCAAGGGATAGTATGGGATATGACGCGAGATTTTATGGGATATAATGGGATGGTCTGTTTTGTCATGAATGATTGGGTGGAACCAAGCGAGCTGGTGATTTGCCAACGATTTTTGAAGGACATTTTTGAAGGACACATCTGGGGATTGATGAAACAGACGAGGATCTACATAAGCGCAAATGGGAATCCAACATAATCCGATGGAAATTATTTATTATAACAATGGATTGCCATATCTCCATTTATATAATGGATTACTAATTCTACAATGTTGGATTTATCTAGTTGCATTTCCCATGGATTATAACCAACGGCAATGGGAATGTAACTGTTATGCGGGATTGACCTTCTGTCACAGCTCCCTCGTTGCTTAGGGGACAGCTCAAATGGATGGGTTTCAATGGCAACAGAACTATAACTCAGGTATTTTTTGTTTTTGGGCTTGCCAGATTGCAGGAGCCCAAAAAGTAGAAAAACAAAACGTCACCATCCCCTTTTTGGCTATAGCAGCAATGGCGCAAAACGCCATCTGCTGATGATTTTCCTGGAAAGTGGACATTTTCATCAACGGGGTAAACCCCACACCGAAAAAACTCTCTGCGCATGGTTGAAATCCCATCAATTTCCGAGTCATTGGGATGGTTTATCCTTTTGCGTTCACCACTTTACCAAATAAGAGAGCAACAACATAATCATAACCGACAATCGCAACATAACCACATGAATAACATGTTTTCTGTCTATTCTCATCATTAAGCGTTGAACACATGAGAGAACTTGGAACATCGAAACAAGTCTCACACTTTTATTACTACTTGAGTTAGTAATCTGTTAGACTACTATCTACTATCACTATTGCCTCTGGTGATTTAACATAGGGTCAACAAGTATTAACAGTGACTATATTAATATAGTGGTTAACCCTATGGTACTGTTATATTTTTAGTATTAATATTATCAACAGCTATTAATCTGTTAACACTTATTAACTATCATTAATAGTTGTTAATCACTATAGACTGTTATTAATAGGATTAATGATATCACTATTAAGAAACCCAATTAATAGTTAATCACTAGGTTAACAATAATGATAGCGAATAGTTATCACTGTTATTATGTTGATAATGAACATCATATTGATGGTAATGGTCACTATAATGATATTGCTATGTTGATAATGATAAAATAATAATAGGTTAACAATAATGATTAACAACAACTGTTTTTAACAACAATTAATCTTATTAACAATGATAGTTAATCATTATAATTATTATATAAAGCTACATATATAGCTATTAAAAGCCTATTTATAACCCTATTCAAGATATAGTTCATAATCACTATATGGCTATGTTATAATCATCACTTCACCATCACAACTCATACGTTATTATTATTTTTATTTTTTTTCGGAGGTCATCTCTACACGCACGCGGTCTCTCCGGGGAAGGTGGATACCAGGTCTGGATGACCGGATGGGTTGCTGGGGGTTGCTGGGATTATTGATAGTTAGCCAGTGGATCTTTCCTGAAATTTCCCTAATCATAAGAAAAAGGGATGAATATTATGAAGCAAAATGATGATATGTGTCATATTTGCTATATATGGGTTATATAATGTTATAAAACCAATGTTTTTTTTCACATTAAAATGAAACCCACGGGGGAGTTCTATCACCAAAAATGGATGGATATGATACAAATTACAAAAGTGACGATGATATGAGACTTTGGAATAACACACACACACACAATTTTCATTACAATAGTAATAAAACAATCATGAATGGACTGTATATATATAATTTTAATTATATATAATTATACGTATAATATATATATATACATACAGTATACAGATAGGTAACAATATATATATATATATACACATGTCATGTGATTCTTTGGATGCCTTGGATTGGGAATATGAATGCTGACCAGATCCAACTTTTATAACTTTTGGCATTGCTGGTTGTTAAGACTCAAAATCTGTGATGATTAGAGGGATCTTTGGAAGATTGGGAAACTCTTCTCCTGGATTTGAAACATCAATTCTAGAGCAGAATACGCCTAGGCAAGTTGGACTCCAAATTGACGCAGGGTTGATTTTCTGGATCAGTCGTGAGATCTGACTATCAGGCAAGGAAATACCACCCTGCAACACTAGGCATTTTCAGCACATGACGTGGTGCAACGTAGCTTGTCTAAGTTTATCAAATACTCCGGCATTGACCTGGCACTGCCTTAATCCCAGCCCCGCGATGTTAGTACCCCATATGAGGGCCGTAAAACGAACAGATCCAATATTAAACCATGGTTTTTTCAAAGTAGGAATTATGGCATCTAAGCTTTCGCTGGTGGCCTTCAGGTTTGGTTGCGATCACATTCCAGAAGTGTTCCCTGGCTTTTGCAGGCTGTCAGACAAGAGACACTGCTGAACCATTTTTTTTTTTTTCCGGGGTCCCGGACTGAAAAAACATCAATCCATTTAGGCGAGCCTACAAATCCATAGCAATTTCTATCGGTGTTTTTGCTGTTGGAAGTGTTCTCCCATCCTCAAAATCAACCCCAGCAACCGCCTCACTTCCCAGAAATTCTAGCCCGATCCCAGAATGGTGTGCTTCATAGTTTTGGGGATACCCCGAATGTTTATGGAACATATCATGATCTACACCTGGTTGGTTGGGAACATGAATTTTATGACTTTCCCATCATATTGGGAGATCTTCATCATCCCAACTGTTACTCAAACTCCATCATTTTTCAGGTTGGGGTAGGTGGCGAAAAACCACCAACCAGCATATAGTTATTAACCATCATTAACCATCATCATAACCATTAATATTCACCATATATTAACCAGGTATATTACCAACCAATGGTAGGTGGCTCAACCACCAACCAGACACTGCATCATCCCATAGGATCCCAAGGTTGTGGTGCTTGTCCAAGCCCTTCCGAAGCTTGCTGTACCGAAGCCAAGCAGAGGCAGATTTTTCACCAACGAAGCATAAATAAATGGCTTCAAGAACAACAATGCTGGATTTCAAGCATCAATTTTTATGGCTTCAAGAACAACAATGCTGGATTTCTTTACCATGTTCAACCAAGAAACATGGTGGTTTAGTCAGCAAATGTGGTGGATTTCAGTAACGAACATGGACGTGCAACCAGTGAAGATGGTTGAGCCGCTCAGAGAAATGGGGATGTGATGTCCACCTTCAGCCCCTGACTGCAGGCTGGTCTCCATGTGTGAAGGTTGGTCTCCAACGTTTGAAGATAGACAAACCGTCCTCCAATCCACATGGTACCATTGAAGATGTGCAGAACTCTCAATGCATGGTGTATTGGAGACCAAAAGGTCTTTGGTGATGTCACACGTGGACATGTTTTTGGAACATCTTATACCCTTTGGCACTGCGGCAATGAATGATCACATAATTTTTTCTATGCGACTTCATTTATGAATAGGATATTATTCATTGTCAAAGCAGATTCGTTACTTATAACCATTCTGTACATTGTATTCCAACAGAAACTCAGTAACCCATTGGGCTTGTCCAAAAATGGGCTCTTTGTCGGCCAATCACCTCCAGCTCAAATGGGCCAATTGAACATTACCCTCTGGTAAACATACAAAAAACTATGGAAAATCACCATTTTCAATTGGAAAATCCACTATAAATCACCATTTTCAATAGCTATTTTGACATAACCAGAGGGTAGGGAGTACAGTACAGTACACCATTTTCAGACACACAGAAAAAACACATCAACCCATATTTCTTCTTGGCGAACATACCAATTTTATTCCATTTTTGTGGCCAAATCCTCTGGTTGCAGCACCGTTGCATTTTCCAGGGTGCTTTGTCCATTGCTGCGGCTGGGCTACGAAAACATGCCACCAGCAACCTGACTGCCTGACTTGGACCAGGTGTATCTGGTGAAACGACTAGGAAACCATACCCTCTGCTAGGGATTTGGCATGATTTAACCATCAACAATGGGGATTATGATGGGGATATGGTTGGTAATCCTCTGGTAATCAAAGGTAGCTGGAAAATCTGACCATGGCCATGGAGGTTTTTGTTGGGAATGGGGGATCTCCTTTATGGGGGATCTTCGCCTTGTTTGATTACGGGAGGGCATACGGTCTGGTAATTTAAGAGTAAATCATTTTAATGGGCCACAATCCCATCAATTTGCCGGAGGGCTTCAAACATCGTGGATTTTCCGAGGGCTTCTGCCAGGATTGAGATGATCTCCGTTTTGTTGTGTCCGAGGTCGAGAATTGATCATGGTTTTCTTGGATGGAGAATCACTCAAAATTCTGTTGCTGAAGAATTAATTCTTCCAATTCAGCCCTGCCAATCCTCATTTCAGGCAAGTTTGGGCAATACTTTCGAGGAGAAGAGTTGCGCCTGGGAGACAAACAGGCCCAGGCTGTCGAAAAGGTTTTTATCACAGATCGTCGAGTTGGCCAAACAGGTGGTAAGCATCATTTATCAATGAGATATCAATGATGGTTAATAATGTTTGATATCCCAATATGTCAAAACCCATGATGGTTGATAATGATGGTTAATAATCATTTATCAATGAGATGTCAATGATATCCCAATATGTTTGATGGTTGATAATGTCAAAACCCATGGTTAAACCAGGGGATGTTTCGCGCTGAGGGTCGAAGACCTGGTGGTTTGGCGCATGTGTCTTTGGCTGGACATGGTCAAAATTCAGCAGCAGCAAGTCGGGATGGTTCGTACTGTAGACATGATCAACATGTTTGGTTCCCAAGGTCTAAATGTTTGAACCTCAAATCATTAGAAACTCTAGAGATCTGAGCATCTTTAGATTAGCTCATTACCGCAATCCTGTCATGGTAATTAGTAAAGCCTACAATGCAGTTAAATTGATGCAGCACTTGTTGAACCATAGAAGTACACATATATTGAACATCATGATATGTATATATAATTATATACATATATATATATATAACTATATATATATGTAATTATATATATATACATATACACCTATTTTGCTCTCTCTTTCTCTATAATATATATATATACATATACATATGATATCATATGATCATATATGCACACACACACACTATCCATCTATCCCATGCACATATTCGTCCCATAGTATAACATCATATAAATATCATCCAGCGAGGTGTCTGCCTCTCTCTCTCTCTCTACAAGGTGGTGCCCCATAGTTAGCTAAGTTGGTTTATAACTCCCATAACTAAGGTTTATGGCAGATATAACTATAGTTAATGGGGTTTATAAACCAACTTATAACTGGGGGGCACCATCCTGTATCTCTCTATACCATATTAATGTACAACACTAAAAACATATAAAAAGCAAAGAATGAACAGAAAACTGCACTAATCCCATGTTTCAATTCTCTTTTTTTGACTCCTCAGATTGGTTTTCGAATCCCCGGTACCCAGTTTTTTGTGGGTTACATCCCGGTGATTAATCCTCGTGATATCATCACATTGTTGGTAACATGGTTGGCCGCTAATATTGTTGCTACCCTCTGGTAATTTAACAGTTTGCTATGGAAAATTGCCATTTATTTCGTGGATTTTGCCATAAAAATGGTGATTTCCCATAGTTATGTAAACGTTTACCAGAGGCTATATGTTGAAATAGCCCCATATTATATGATCCCAAATTTTTAGTGGATGGAGTTGGGATACTATCCATATATCATATTATCCAACAATATACGGTGGATGGATTTGGATATGTTCACATCCCCATGATTTTTTCTTATCCAATTGATAGTTTTGATAATACATATATGTATAGGCACACATCATATTGATATAATATATCATATATACCAATATCCATGATTATGATGTGCTTATCCTGATTTCTATAGTAGCTATATCCCATCTGATTTTCTGTGTATTGATGATTATGGTCATATGGCCCATGATATTATATTCCACATATATTCCATAAAATCACTACATACTATATATATATGTCTCATGTGATATTCCCAATACATAATGTATATCACATATATATGTATACATTCACATATATATATATACATACATATTCACATATATATATACACATACCCATATCATATCAATGAAACAATCTCACTTTGTTACAATGTTTGTCCCACCCATCTACCATCGCTATTTTCAAGCCGATGGAGAATTCTAGTATTTCTCATTTCACTATATATATATTATGTATATATATATATATGTATATCTACATATATATGTATATCCATAAATATATATATATATATGTATATCTATATCTATGTATGTATATGTATATGTATATGTATATGTATATGTATATAAATATGCATATATATATATGTATATATATGTATATATATGTATATCCATATATATATATATACATGTATATCCATATATATATATATATGTATATCCATATATATATATGTATATCCATAAATATATATATATATATATACATGTATATCCATATATATATATATATGTATATCCATATATATATATATATGTATATCCATAAATATATATATATACATGTATATCCATAAATATATATATATGTATATTCATATATATATGTATATCCATATATATATATATGTATATCTATATCTATGTATATATATGTATATGTATATGTATATAAATATGCATATATATATATGTATATATATATGTATATATATATATATGTATATATATACATGTATATCCATATATATATATATGTACTATATATATGTATATCCATATATATATATGTATATCCATAAATAAATATATATATATATACACATGTATATCCATATATATATATGTATATTCATATATATATATACATATGTATATCCATAAATATATATATATATATATGTATCTCCCCATGTTTTTTTTAAGGCCCGAGAAGCGTCTCTCCGTGCAGCTGGTGCGCTGGGCCGCCACGGCCACCGCCTTAGAGCCGCGCAGCGGTGGGCGGCCGCTGATGCTCGGCGTCGATGGGATCTGAGGAGAAAAGGTGGATCTATTGGTTCTTTATACATGGTGGATTGGAATGGGCCATTTTCCACAGCAGACTGTTAAACAACCAGAGGGTTACATTAGGCAATCATAAATCATGTATATATATATTTCAAGGCTTACGCCTGACAGCTGGGCGCCGGCCAAGCAACGACGTTTGGCGTATGGTGTGGGAAGATTGGGCCGAGATTCTCTGCGCAAACCCAGGGAGGGCTATGTTGAACTGAGGCAGGCATAATGCGCAGAGCTTGCCTGTATGGAAGCAGTCTGGGCCGCCCGTGTTGGGCCAAGTCGGGCCCATGTTGAGCCATGTTGGGCCCATCTTGGGCCTATATTGGCCCAGGTTGGGCCTATGTTGGGCTATGTTGGGCTCATCTTGGGCCCATGTTGGGCCTATGTTGGGCCTATGTTGGCCTATGCTGGGCCTATGTTGGCCCATGTTGAGCCATCTTGGGAGCTATGTTAGGGCCATGTTTGGGCAATCTATGTTGAAACGATCTTAAGATGCCAATTTTTCCGCCCCGGGCCCCCTCCTGGAGACCAAAACCAGGTAAAAACCGATGTTTTTAACATCGCCAAGATGAAATTCCTTGCCGCCGAAGGGACCAAAACACCGTAAAAAAACGATGTTTTTTAACACCGCAAGCAAAATACATCGTAAATTACAGAAGCTTCAGTTGACACGGAGCCCCCTTCGGGGTGAACACGGGGTGGGTCGGCGGCTTCGGTTACTACCGAAGGCCTCTGGCAAGGACACGGGCTCCGTGGCCGGCGCCCGGATTTCTGGTAATGAATAAAAAGAATGTGGTTTCTCCAGAAACGGAGGAGTTAAACGATGCTTTAGACATTAGAAATGGTGGGATTCATCATGATTTCACCAGGAGAAATTAAAGGTTTAAGCATCAAAGCATGGTGAGATTTTACCATCACAGGTGTCCAGCTGCAATGGATCTGGGATCGGAGGATTGGCGACTGGTGGCCGGGACCACAGGGATTAATTCAGAGCCCAATGACCTATGAATGTGTTGGTTGTAGATACCACTTGATGTAACTTAACTATATATATATGTATATATATGTATATATACATATATAAATATATGGAAATAGAACATATACATCACTTCCAAAAGGAGGTAAATCATGATTCATGAAGTTGGCTAGGTTTCTGCCAAACAACTGAACGCGGTTAGATGCTGCAACTGTCTAGCGCCTCAAAGAATAGCTGAGTTCCCAAGCTAAACGTCACGAAGTTTCCGAACCAATCCAGGTCAGTGATTCGCCGATAAGTTTCTGTTGGGTTACAACCAGGCTAACGATTGGATTTGGGATGATTTATGTATATATAATAATAGGCATATATATTTGATATGTATATAATTATATATAATTTATGTATATATATATATCAACATCTGATATATGTTGATATATGATATATGTAATATCTGATATATGTGTATACAGATATACATATACATAATAATTAATGCATGTACATATGAAATTGGTCAAACTAGACTTAACTAGACTAACCACACATCATCGGGTGCCTCGCGCCTCAGGGACATCGGTGGCCGATCCCTAAGCGTTGGCGACCTCTTGGTGGGACGAGGGGAGGTGCGACAGGGACTTTGCCAGCAAAATGGTGACGTTTTTAGCAGCAAAACCATCACAACCATGTGGCATGAAAAATTGGATTTTTTTTCGAACATTGAGGGATGAGAATAATCTTTAAGGATTTATATACCCATTAGAAAGGTTTCCATGATGGAATGGATGACTGTAAACCAGAAAAGATATGTTTTAAGCGTAGCAAATATGGGGATTTGACCATCAAATTCCAAGAGATAAGGAACGCATGAAATTTTGCGACGTTGGGTGGGAGTTCCTCTATGGTAAACCCTCCTGAGAAGGTGAACCATGTTTTTTTTTGTGGATCAGGTCAAGATTCAACCCAATAAAAATTACATCATCATTATTATTATTATTATCATTATTATTATTGTTCTAGCATGTCTTTATTATTATTATACACATGTTCTATACATATATGATAAACGGATAGAAAACATACCATATCATGTCTAGACATACCATATCACGTCTAGACATCCATTTATTTATTTATGTATTGCTATATATATATATGTATAATGGATTCAGCGATCTTGATAGTCCACACACACAAAAACAACTGTAGGAGGACCGATGGTCAACCTCTGAACGACGTTGGAGCACCGAGATTTCCAACCTGTCACGACAGGCCTGGAGAGGAAGGAAGCAACTCCAGCCCAGTGATGTTTGTTGGTTTATGTTACCATCTGGTTATTTAACATAGCCATGGAAAATCACCATTTTTAATAAGTAAACCATCTATTTCTATGGGCCATTTTCACATCTATGTGAGTCATAACCAGAGGGTACTTGGGGTTGAATCCCAGGCATCGTAAGTGGGGAAAAAAATCCAAAAAAACAACGACAGTTCTCCCAGGCAACGAAAGTGGTCAATAACCCAAATATAAGTAGGGTATCCCACATATTGCTGGGATATACTGTTATTGCCCACTTACTAACTGGTATGCGCATCCAAGTACCCCATTTGACCAAAGAAGCACTTCGGGGGAGTAGTTCGGGGTAACACAACGATGAAAACAAGGATGAAAAATGGCCGCCTCAGTTGTAACTTGGTTTATAAAATCCAACTGTCCAACTGTAGATATATCCACTGCACATCGAATTGTTGGCCTAGTTACAAACTCACCTAGCTATTGTTTGAGGGCCCTTGTTACCAATGGTTTTCCAGCAAACGAAGGGAACATTACCTGCCATCTTGTGCTTTCGCGTTTTCCACGACTTCATGGAGAGCGATTGGGGGTTTGACCATGACACACTTTTGATGACTATCAGAAACTAGTCACAGACACGGCAAGAAATCATACCCGCTTCAGCCATGTCGATATTTTTTCAAACCGACCATTGGCTTTAGCAAAGAAGCCGCTTGAACGGTGCTGATTTCAGGTCAGCGAGGAGATTCTGATTCTCCCAGGTGAAGTAAATCTGGGGATGGGTGGCTGGAGATGAAGCATGCAGGGACAAACATATTTGGAGAAATTCATTTTGGTGTGCACCCAACAACATTCGGTGAGAGGACTTTGGTTTTTGTGTCATACGTTTAGATTTTAGACCATCACACCTTCCAATCTCTGCAGGATGGTGCCCCCCAGTTATAAGTTGGTTTATAAACCCCATGAACTATAGTTATATCTGCCATAAACCATAGTGAAATGGGAGTTTTTTGAACCAACTTAGCTAACTATGGGGCACCACCTTGTAGGTTGTCTCCATTTTTACTTGGCCGTCTTCAGGAGGTCTGTTCGGTTGAAAGCCATTTTTGCAGCGAATCCCCTCTGGCATTCACCCAGCGTGATGGAAAACCCACCGAGTTTTTGATGATTTTCCCATTGGAAGCTTCATTTGACAGGGCATGTTAACCATAGTTTCTACGTTTCCACGTTTGAGTGCTGGTAAGATACCCTCTGGTAAACGTTTACATAACTATGGAAAATCACCATCTTTAATGGGTAAATCCACTATTTCAATGGCCATTTTCAAGTTCGCAAACTGTGACAGTTTACCAGGTCGGGTAACCTTTTTCGTTCGGTGAATCTTTTGCTGCCCCGGCGCTCCGGCGCAGCTCGCATCTCTGCGGTGCGACGGCTTCTCATTCGCTGCCGCGAACGGCTGCTGCAGTGGCTGCCCTTCTGAGCACCCGGTGACCCCACCATGGGATGAACCAGTCGACCTCTCGGCGAAAAAAAAAAGGGCCGCAGCTTGATCTTAGGGAACAGCTTTTATTTTCAGGTTAGTGAATTAACAGAATTTACCAGAATCTATGGGCCGAACTTGGGGTATCCTCCAGTGGCAGTGCCAGAACGTTGGGGGTGCAAGGGTGATGTTCATGGGCAGTTTGTGGGATTCTAACCTTCTACAAGTTGGGTGTGGCTCTAGAACTGTGGTGAACAGCATTGAACAGCCATTTACTAGTGGGACTGCCCCAAGAATGATCTCTTGAAGCCATGTGTTTTGTGGGACTGCGCCAGGTCAATGGCCACGACAGCAGAGACCCTGCAAAGTTGGTGGATGGGCCCTTCATGGTGCTGCAGGCCGATGAGAAATAGGGGTGAACCCCGCTTCACCAGCCCAACATATTTTATGATACTGGGTCAAAGGTTGTGGGGTAAGCTATGTGTCATGCGGTGGGGTAAGATTATAGGTTGTGGCGTAAGTTACCACCCGTACTCGTAGGAGAAACACATAGAGAAAAATAATAAATTGATCTGGCCGATGGCTGATGGCTTGTTTTTATATGATTTCTTGAGGGATTCGCCAAAGCTACCCGTCGCCACTGGCGACTCTGCATGGATTTCGCTTGTGTCAATGGTTGCCGAAAGGCTGGACACATGGATTTTTCAAAGGGAAACCATCCTTAGAAAATCCTGGTTTCACACTTTTCTGTATCTTTTTGGGGGTTTCTATGGATGTTTGGTTTAAACCTCACTTTTCAAATGCTGGTTTTCAGAAAATGCTTAATCCATCTGAATCCGCTCAACATCGCGATGTTTATGGAAGGAACTACGAAGAAGTATGTAGGTCGTGGTCCATTTTTTGAGTCTTTGTTCATGGGTCCCACATTTTCAGCCGCTGGACCGCGGGACGACCATGGCGGGCGGGCTTTCCGCTTTCCCCAATGGATCTGTTTTCTGATCCTGTGAGCCCATTATGGTGCTGCAAAGCCATCAGAAAAAACGGATTTTACCATGCAATTTACCATGCAATTCATGCAGGATGGTGCCCCCCAGTGATGTGAACGTTGGTTAACAAAAACCCCATTATATAACTATAGTTATATCTGCCATAAACCATAGTTATGGGAGTTATAAACCAACTTAGCTAACTATGGGGCACCACCGTGGCGCTTTTTTACCGCTGAAAATTAGGGATTGCCCACAGAAATCCATGCGAAAAAGGGACATCCAGGTGCTGAGCACATGGAACTTCGAAGTTCTGGGGCATCAACTGACTGTCTCAGACATCAAAACCCTGGACATGTGCCCCCGGGCTCTGGTGACTTTGTGGGTTACTTTTTGGGCATCCGCGATGACTTGGGGTAGTTGTTTCATGTTGTTGAAAAATCACTGTATTTGTATGTATTTGTTGCTTACCCTCTGGTAAACGTTTACATAACTATGGAAAATCACCATTTTTAATGGGACAACTCACTATAAATGGCAATTTTCAATAGCAAACTGTTAGTTTACCAGAGGGTAAATTGTTATCATCACTGTAACATCACTATTTTTTTGGAGTGCTGAAGGCTACAATTTTTCGGGGAGCAAGAACCATGCCACGAGCGCTTTTGGCTCTGGCATTGTGGCAATGCTGGGCATTTTGGGGGACAACTGCTACCAGCCAAGTCACTGACCCTGACCAGCCCTCGGCTCAGCGGAGGTACATGAAGTGCTCGGCTCAGCGGAATCGGATGGCTGTTCTATCGAGTTTCACGTGGCTTCAATTTTTGATGCTCAGTGGCTCTGGTTGGCGATGTGTACATTTATAATATACATATTATATATATAGTTATAATATATATATATATTATAATATGTGTATATATATATAGTCTACTCATACGTATATAAATAGCTGTATATAGTATAGTTATATCTCTATATATGCATATATCATTAAATATACATATACATCTACACTTATATAAATATAGTCTAGTATATATATATAAATCTCTGGACACCCTAAATTTGATGGGCAAGTTGCAGCTGCGGAAAATCCTTCAGGATCCCTCGCCAGGGTACCCCAGGGTATCATTGGTTGATTAGGAAATCATTGGTTGGCATTGATCAATAGGGATTCAAACATTGATTATAAGATTTCTTTTCTTTTTTTTTAATAGGGATTTAACTATCAAGAATAGGGATATAATAGATACACCCAGGTTTATTGAAACGTGTCAGCGAGAAATCCCCTGAAGATTAACGTTTCTAGCTGGTAAAATCATCGAACTAATTGGTGGATTTTCCATTGCTACCTTTGATTACGGGAGGGTAACCACTCAACATTTCTTCGTTGGATTGGCAATTGATCAGTGATAGTGACAATAAGCGGCATCAAAAATCAATGATATCCACGGATATCATGGGTTAATTATTGGTACATCTATGTTACAGTAATATTGGCACTACTGTAATCATCGAAACCACCAATCATCCCATAAAATTCATCATGGTACCCGGGCCGGGCCCTAGGGTAAATACACAAAAAACGTGGAAAAACCGTGATTTCGGACAATGATCTGCATCTCTGGTGGCTTTTCCACACATGGTTTTCTATGTTTACAGGAGGCTAAATGGCGTTGTCTGAAGTTTTAGGTGGGAAACTCCCAACTCCAATGGACGATTCTCATGATCTTCATTTTTAAGGATCATTTGGAGGATATACAACCCATTTTCAGACTTATTTTTGGGATTCATCACCATTAACCATCATTAAACCATCATTAAACCTCCATTAAACCACCACTTCCCATGAGTTTCCTGAGAAATTCATAGGATTTCAGCCGTTTTCAGCGCCGGAAACCAGGCGTTGTAAGCTGGGCCCCTTCCGCCTGGGTCGTGCTCTGGAGCTCCTCAGCGACAACTCGCCGGAGGCCGGCGATTTGGAGCTGATTGAGTTGCAAAGAAGTCATATAACTATGGTTTATGGTACTTATAACTATAGTTACTGGGGCTTTTGTTAACCAACTCAATCAGCTTTGCAACTCAATCAGCTCATAGTTTATGGTACATAACTATATATAACTATACTGACTATACTGTTTATGGTACACGTGTGTATATATATATACATACACACACACACACTCTCTCTCTCTCTCTATATATTTATGTGATTATATGTGTGTATGTAATGTAATGTAATGGAACGGAATGGAATGGAACGGAATGGAATGCACTGTAATGTATGTGTATGTATATGTATACGCATATGAATATATATATATATACATATAGATAGATAGATAGATAGATAGATAGATAGATAGATAGAGTTCCTAGTTATACCACCTGCGGTGACAGGGGTTTACCACTGCGGTCAACGCCGCAGGCGCACCAGGAGCTGGAATCCTTGCGGAGCAAGGCCCGGCGACGCCTTGATGTGCGGAAGCCCGGCCCGGCCCCGTGGGCGCGCGGCGCCGGGCGCTGGGCGCTGGTCGGCCCTGTTTTGTAATAAGCCAAAAGGGATAAGACGTGATAAACATGAGATAAACACGATAGACTGATAGATTTTGAGGATCAACTTTGATAAACATGGGCATGGGCAAAAGCTATGTAAAACCTGAAGGTTTGAAGCAGCTGTAACCCATGAAAACCGGAAAAACACACGGATTTGTTGCAGCAAGAGATGGAATCTGTCAACTGGAGAGGGTAGCGTTTTGGAAAAGAAAGGGATGGCTTGTCGATTCTTTTGACATTTCACCATCTTCAGCATCTTGGAAGTTGGCATAGATGTCCTCTATTCCCACTGTCAATAGAGGTTTCCCTCCATAATTCTCACTAATAGGTAGATGATACCAAAACGTAGTCACCTGCCCATGGAATTTCCCTCTTTGAGGACCATCTATTGATTCCAGAACTATCCAGAACTCCTCATGGGAACCTTCTGAAAAAGCTGAACATTTATCCACAAGATCTCGAAGTGAAATAGAACTTGAGAAGAATACATCCATGGATGGTTGGAAAAGATAGCCTCTCCGGAAAGTATGCTGGCTTTAGCCCAGTGGATATTCAACTCAAATTTCACAAGAGAATTTACGGCACCATGTGATGGAAGAATGGTGGTCAACAATCATAACAATCCCTATCCAGAAGTATCCGCCGGCGCAACATTGGTACAGGATGGTGCCCCCCAGTTATAAGTTGGTTTATAACCCCCATTAACTATAGTTATATCTGCCATAAACCATAGTTATGGGAGTTATGAACCAACTTAGCTAACTATGGGGCACCACCTTGTAGAGGGTGTCCACCCCAACTTGCTGTGGTTTCGCCCTTCGGAACTTCGCCCTGAAACCTCAGGGATTGAAACACATCCAGCGTGTCCGGATGAACAAATTGGATTTCAATGAACAGGGCACAGGCGCGGCAGGGTGGTCCGGTGGTTTTTTGCTTGGCTTTGGCTCAACCAGATCTACAATGAATAGATCAATGGTTACCGTCTGGTAAACTAACAGTTTGCTATTGAACGTGGCCATAGAAATGGTGGATTTTCCCATGAAAATTGGTGATTTTCCATAGTTATGTAAAAGTTTACCAGAGGGTAACCATCTACAATTCAATCTACAAAAAGATCTTGTCCATGGAATCATGGTTTTTCCCTCGAGTCCATCCACAACAAGAACTCACAACATCCACAACTCCGGGACTGATCAAACAAGCTTCGACATACAAAGTTTCAGGCTGGTGACCCATGTATCTGAAATCACTCGGCCAAACGTTTGGTCCCACAATAAAATACCTAGCATATTTGTTACTTTTCACCCCGACTTGGAAAAAATGTTGGGATTCTCCATTTTCAAAACCGTGATTTGAGGCGTCTCAAAAAAGTCTCGCAGGTGACAGTCCCTCCAATGGATCTGGCAATGCCAGGGAGGCTGGGTTGCTGCACGTGGTGGGTGACTTTGAAGACCCAGTTTCTGGAGGTTCCTCAAATGGGGGTACCCCAAAATGGATGGTTCATAATGGAACATCCGAGAATTTTCCATGGATGATGACTGGGGGTACCCCTATGACTTCGGAAACCTCCATCTCATGTCCAAATGCCTGCCGATTGTATCCTCTACGCTTGCTGGATTATCTATTGTCATCTATTCTAATCTAAGTATCAACTTTGCGGCGCTTGATATTGGCATTTCTTGTAGCGATCAACCGATCCTAACCACTCCCACACCCTGTTCTCGGACGAAGCCAAATATCGGCCAGTTACATTATTCTTTGTGGTAAAGCATCCCTGTTGCTGCTTAGATCATGAAATATAAAAAGCCATTGATGGTGAATTTCCATTGTGTCATGATTATCATATCATGTTAATTATCATATGCTAATGATATGCCATTGATGATTAATTTCCATTGATTATATCCCAATCTTTCACACTGAAATCCCAGTTTTGCGAGCGCAGATTTTGACCAGGCTGAAGGAAGCCGACTCCTGAGAGCTTTCCGAAATGGGCCCCCAAAAGATCCCAAAAGCACCATCCAGTCGTCAACGCCCATGGCTTAGTATTGAAACAACCAGCCAGTGATGACTGGCATCCCCCCATTTCAAGAAACACCGAAAAAAACGATATATGTGATATTGACGGTGCTAGAATCCCTTCCACCATTCATATGAAACACCCCCCCAGAAACCATGGTCGATGTATTGGGACCATACAATGAGGATGTTTCATATGAACGGGGGTTATACATATATATATATATATCATATTGATATTTATATTGTATATACATCTAATCAAAAAGAACAACACTAACAGCAACAACAGCAGCAACAACAACAACAGCAGCAACAACAACAAAAACAGCAACAATCACAATAATATACAATAACAATAACACGAAAATTAGTCGGAACAAGAGTAGTAATTTCATATTGCAAATGACCCTAATAGTAATACAATATGATTTATCATGTAACACATTCATTAGTAATATTGATTGTAAGAGTAGTAAATTTCATATTGAGTAGAAATATTGTAATACAACTAAAGAGTGGCAATCTATATATTTTTCTAATCTGACCCTACTTTAGTCGCAATTTTCGCTGAAGTTCGCCGAGGCAAACATCGCTCTGCCAGGCGACCAGGTCGACCATGGGGTAGGCGGATGGGCACTGGGGCACTGGGTGGATCATCTCACTATTTCTCGGTCAAAAATCCCTGGTTATGGGACAAGTTGGGCTAATCCACTGAAAAAAATCTGGATATACCCTTTGGTAAATTAACATAGACCCTGAACATCACCAATTTTTAGAGGAAACTAATCTTCCAACCCCTATCTACCAAGGTCTATGTTAATTTACTGGAGGGTAACCTACTTAGTAAATGGATATAAATCCACCAAGAATGGTTGGTTACTGTAGCTGGTGACGTGTTAGATGAAATTTAGGCATGAAAAAACATGTTGTTTTTCCAAAGCTAGGTCGTATTACCAGCGGGTACATAAAGCTATACAGTATGATATAGTGATTTATCCTGTTTCATCCAGTCATTTTGAGGAGATTTTGTGGTAAAGTCTCCTTGAAATCACCAGATTCTTGCTACCATCTTGATCAGGCAACGGGACAGCAACGCGGGGTGCCCAGAATTCTGCTAAGATCATTTGTTTGACAAATACCCGGACGTGTCCGTTGTACTTCCAGAATATGTGTTCCCATAAACTGTTAAATTCCCATTGTATCCTATGAATTTATCACTGGTTTATGATTTTATTCCACATCGCCATTCATTTCCCTTATGTCCATCATGTTTCTATTGCATGGTATCGCTAGTTCAGGGCATGGGCATTGGGGGCTCACCAGTTTTCTAGACATCTCAGCGTTGGAAAACACGGGTGATCTCAACCTGGCGCCAAGTTGGCCGCCATGGCACCAAGGCCTATCCTCGGAGTTGGGCACAATGAGCCCTTCGGATCCGAAGGTGAGCCACGGGCGAGGCCATTTCGGGTACGGGTGGAGATAGGAGCTGAGTCGGTGTCGATGTGGTTTACCGATGTTGACACATCAATGTGCCCATCCATTTATCCATGAATACCCTCTGGTAAACTAACATAACTATGGAAAATCATCATTTTAAATGGGAAAACTCACTATAAATGGCCATTTTCAATAGCTATGTTAAATTTCTGGAGGGTATATAGCGATAGACAAGTAGCTTCATAATGTTCGGGATGAGAGAAGGGTTTCGCCGGCCCTCAGGGTGCACTTGCGCCAGGCTCCTTAAGGCCCCGGTGTGTATAGCTGGAATCTTCCAAAAAGCTGCTGGTATGGCGGGGCAAAGTCAGTTTTGGCAGCCGAAAATGAGAGTGAATCATACGTAGTGAAACCCTTTAGGGTACCCTCTGGTAAACTAACATAACTATGGAAAATCACCATTTTTAGTGGGTAAATCAACTATTTCTATGGCCATGTTCAATAGCTATGTTAAATTACCAGATGGGAATTTTGTTGTATGATTTTGTCTTCGAGGAGTCACTGAGGTTTTACCCACGAGCGTTTTTTGTAGCTTTGGCCTTGGACGTTGCGGGAGACTGCTTCAAGAAGGGACCCAACACTGAACAGATCAGTACAATACCAGGGATTTATCGTTTCCAGGGACATTAAATACATTTTAATACTTGGGGGAAGATACTAGTTTCCAAAGTAAAGCAATTGCTCGCACAATACTGGATCATTGAGAGCTCGTGAAAGCCTTATCTGATCACCCTAGGCAAAAAATCACGTCCAAGCGATTTTTTCTTTCAAATACCTTTTCTTGTGACCATTGATGCAATTTAGATCAATTCAGATGTCCCAAGAATTCGGAACCCCTGCAATCCCCGGTTCCATGCCCAACTGCTAGGTAGCCTTATGACAGGCCTGAGAGAGAATTTGGACTTTCTTTCACTTTGAACGTTGACGCAGTGCGAACCGCGGTTTAGACAATCCTCGAGCACAGTTGCAATAGACACATCCAACACAGCCAACACAGCCAATATCGAGCTGCAAAGGTCCATCGGTCCATCGGTCGATCTTCACTATAGGTGGTTCCCCCCAGTGATGTGAACGTTGGTTAACAAAAACCCCATGAAAACTAGTTCGTTATATCTGCCATAAACCATAGTGAAATGGGAGTTTTTTGAACCAACTTAGCTAACGAACTGGGGCACCACCTTGTTGGTTTGTTTCAAAACTTGCCGTGTCGTTGCAAAGTACTGTGACTTTTTGCCGATGAATCACACAGCTTCGCTGTGCCAGAATTTCAACACACGACTGAGCAGCTCCAAGAAGCTGCCATGGTAGTGAGGGCACACCACTGGTTTGTTAGCGCATCGCGACGGCAAGGACAATATGAATCAATATGGTACATATGACTCGCGGGGCATTTTGAGGCTTTGTTTAGTACGTTCTGGAGTTTTCATGTCAATTTGTTTCTAAATCCTTTATATTATGCATCTTTATTGTCCGTCATTTTACATATATACAAACATATATATCCGAATCCTTTATCAATTATCAAATTATCTTTATCAATCTTTATCCAATTATTTTTTTCAATCTTTATCCAGCTTTATCTATTTTTATCAATCTTTATCCAGCTAGAAATCCTATGAATTTTCAACATGTTCAATTTCTTGTTGGTTTCCACAATGTGGGGCCCCCTAGTTATAAGTTGGTTTATAAGCCCCAATAACTATAGTTATAAGTACCATAAACCATAGTTATTGGACTTATAAACCAACTTAGCTAACTATGGGGCATCACTTTGCATTTCATTCCTGAGCCTTTGCCGTTCGATGTGAAACTTGGCCTGCGATGTGCCGTCTCCGAGTGTATGGCATCACATGGAGCTGGCGGACTGCGAAAGAGCTCCGCCAGCCACTCCGAAAGGTGCGCCCATCGACGACTGACGAGTTACTGACGAGTTAAAGATCGGATCATCCCATTTTTGGGTGGTTTATAATGGAAAAGTATGTTAAAAATGATTTGAATGATTAGTTTATAGGCTGTTGCCCCATGATTCATCAAATGGATGTTTTATAATGGATGATTGAGGGGTACCCCCATTTTAGGAACCCCCACACTCATCTGAACAATCGAGAAAATGTGGCGTGGCTCGAGCCACATGCACCAAAGCTCGACTTGTTTCTTGGTACCTTGGAGATCCAGATGCACTGGGACAGATATCATCACACTATTAGATGAGGTATGATAATTAATAGTATGATGATGGGAATATATCCACTGGGACTTTGAAACAATGATAATTTTGAGGATGAGGCTGTTGCCTTACCACAAAAAAATGGGACATGATATGACATGATCATTCAAAATTTGCAGCGATCGGCGACCTGGGCGCGCGGCCACGACACCGGGCCCCGCACGGGGTAGCAGACGACATCTGTTCCCAGACATAGCGAGCCGTGATGATTGCGGAGTTTCGCCGGAAGCGATTCGCGATTCCAAGAGTCGGTGGGGATAGGTCAAAACCTATTGTTACTGAAGCTTTTACCAACTAATGAATAGTGAAATCATAGTTCATTACCATCCAATTCATGTCAATTAATAGTTCATTACCATCCAATTAATAGTTAATTACTATCCCCATACATGCTGGAGGTTAATCAAGAGTTAATGACCATCCACTAATTATCAACTATTCTTGGTGGGGATTTTTACCCTCCATTAATTCATCAGCTATGACTGCTACCATCTGTGCAGCGCACAGTGAGATTTCGACCATCTCGCTGAGCGTGAACTTGATCGTGGACTACATATACATCTATATCTAATAATCTAATATCTATAATATATATATACACATGATCTCTATATCTCTCTCTATATATATATATCTCTATATATATATATATCTATATATATATATATCTCTATCTCTATCTCTATCTATATCTATCTATCTATCTATCTATCTCTCTCTCTCTATATATATATATCTAAATATCTCTATATATATCTATATATATCTATAGATATATATATATATGAGGGAACTCTTGCCATATGCCTGGTGAGTCTCTTCACGCAGCAGCCCCTTCGCAGTGTCTCGTCATCATCACCATCATCATCATCAACATCATCATCATCATCATCCTCCTCATCACCATCATCATTCGACTTGACATTCGGATTTTTCGACATCCATTTTCCAAGTACCCAACGGTGCGATGAAAGTGACAGGTTCGAGCATCCATAGGTACCGCAAAAAGAGACGTTGGAGTTTGTGCTAACAGTGACCGTGTTTTTTTTTCCCCGCACGATGCGTGTGTCTGACAATGTCTACCTCCAAATGGCTATTTAAATGGACTAAGTGATGAGCAACCATGGACATCGTGGGGTGCTCTCTTTTCGGATCCAGATATCTCCGCTCTGCTCTGAATGTCCAGTTCCATGCCCCCCCCATGCCTTGTGCGTCTCTTCACGCAGCAGCCCTTCGCAGTGTCTCATCATCATCATCATCATCATCATCATCATCATCATCATCATTTGACTTGCAATTCGGATTTTTCGACATCCATTTGCCACGTACCCAACGGTGCGATGAACGTGAACCCGGTCGCATGTCGGCTTTCGCACTGAGTGATCCCCCGCGTCCCCTGTGACACAACTACCTTTCGTGTCACCCCTTCTCAAGTATATCTATATATCACTATATATCTCTATATATCTCTATATATCTCTATATATCTCTATATATCTCTATATATCTATCTAGTCTATCTAATCCATCTAATCTATCTAATCTATCTAATCTATCTAATCTATCTAATCTATCTAATCTATCTAATCTATCTAACCTATCTAGTCTATCTAATCTATCAATCTATCTATTCTATTCTATTCTATCCTATTCTATCCTATTCTATCCTATTCTATTCTATTCTATTCTCTTCTCTTCTATTCTATTCTATTCTATTCTATTCTATCTAATCTATCTAATCTATCTAATCTATCTAATCTATCTAATCTATCTAATCTATCTAATCTATCTAATCTATCTAATCTATCTAATCTATCTAATCTATCTAACCTATCTAAGCTATCTAAGCTATCTAATCTATCTAATCTATCTAATCCATCTAATCTATCTAATCTATCTAATCTATCTAATCTATCTAATCTATCTAATCTATCTAATCTATCTAAGCTATCTAATCTATCTAATCTATCTAATCTATCTAATCTATCTAATCTATCTAATCTATCTAATCTATCTAATCTATCTAATCTATCTAATCTATCTATCTATCTATCTATCTATCTATCTATCTATCTATGTTTTTATATAATGATATATCTATTTCCAAGCTTTAGCCATGAAATCAGGGAATCTCTTCGAGTCAAATGATTTTGACATTAGCCATCAAAGTATTGGTTATTGACATGAGCCAGAGATAAATAACACTTCTACATACTGCGTCCCATGGTGTTTTAGACCTGGTTGCATTGACTTGTTTGACTTCCTGAATGCACGGCGTCCCATGCAGTTTTCACCTTGGTTGCAAACATGCACTGACGGACCGCGTCCCGGAGTACCAGGTGATTTATTGGTGATTCTGGTAACCCATAGTAGGGATACTGGTTTACCATGGTTTACCTATCAACCAGCCAGTATTTTATAGGATGGTGTAGGGGCATTGCTTATGGTTCAAAAGCGGATTTTTTTCACAAGGAACATTGGAGTTGGCGAAGCTTCGGCGCTGATTTTTGCCAATCGAATTAATGCAGATTTCACTGGACATGCTGCACTGATGCTGACGTATTCAGATGTTCCTTCAACCTCGGGGTGATCTCTGCTCTTCAGCTCTTGGATTTTCTGAAATTTCTCGGCAAAGTGGCAGCAGGTCTGGCAGTCACTACCTAGCAAGTGGACTTGCAAGTGGTGTGCGCAGCAGCCTTTTTG